GGATCTCAGGATGTAGTGTCTGACAGCATTGTGTCTGTTGTTTATGTTCATCACACTCATCTGGGCACCCAACAAACATGACTGGGTGTCTGATTTTCATTTAAATAGCTTTGCTAGAGTTTGTTAAAACTGGGACTGGGGTTTATTTCACGGGACGTAGGATTTCTTCTCTCTTGGATTGCCTGCATTTTGCAAACATCCTTCAGAAAGCTAGCACCAAGTCCATATGAAGAAAATAAGATTATTAATTCTGGCAGGTTAAGTATAAACAGATAATCAGGGAAATCAAAAAGACTTTGAAGAACAGTTTGCAAAAGATAAAAGAAAGACCAGTAAATGTTTTTTTCAAGCATATCCAATAGCCTGCTGGAGAATTTATAGATGCAGTAGGTCCCACTGAGAGGAATACAAAAAGAGCTCTCAGAGGAAATATTACTTTATCAGAAAAACAGACTAAATTTTGGCATCAGTGTGCAGTGTTCCACAAGTTTATGATCCACAAATTACTGGCAGCTCAGAGACTTTTTGGGCGCACATGGCCACACACTGTCTCCCTTTTACATTTTTCCATTATTCCTCCTGTTGGTAATGGTCAGGGCCAGGATACAAATCTGAACAAGGTGTTTGATACAGCCATTCTATGCTTTTCTGTGGTGCTTTTTTTTTCTTTTTAATTACATTCATTTGGTGTGCCTGTCTTGACAGTTCCATTCAAATCAAGGCCAAACTTGCTGGCAACTTATGTAAATATTTCTTTTAGTCTTATCAGCAGACTAGCTAAAACCTGAAACGGGACCTTCAGTGTTTGAGCCAAGAGAACTCTTCTATACCTGGGCTTCTGACACAAGTATCCCTAATGCAGCTGGAAGGCTCCAGCTCAGGAGAGCACATAAGATAACCACTCCTCCCAAGGACAGCGCTCAAGGGCATTTTTCACTTGAAGTATTAACAGGTGTCCTGAAAGGAAGAAAGTTTCCATGAGTTGAGGCCAAATAAAGCAGCCAGGTTTTGAAACAGAACAGCCAGGTGCAAGTAATTGAGGGATAGTGGTGTGTTAAAATAGCCTCAGGACTTTTATCCTCTTAGGACATTCATCCAATATATTTGATTTCCAAGTAATTAAAGCAGTATGCTGATAATCAAATTTGTGCAAAGCAGTATTACAAATGCTAACGGCATTTCCCAAAACCTAGCAAATTGGCAGAGGAATTTCTTTTTAAGATTAGTATATGAAATCCTAGTCAAGCTCATATATGGAAAAGACTGGGCTTATTGTTTAATATAACACTTGATTAATGAGGGAAATTAGTAGCACTCCACATACTGACTCAAGCTTTGTTGTCTGCACATAAATGTTCTTTTGTTGTGAATAATAAAGGCATTTCAGTGAAAGTGGGTGGCTAGGCCCCTAATTCCACAGTTACCCAATCACTTTAAGGTAATGTAAATATAGGCTGCTGCTCGAGGGGATAATCTATCATTCTAAGCACCCTAGATATGTATTCCCAGCCAGCATGGTAACTAGACATGGGAACTGTTCTATTTATAAATAAACAGGATCGTGGAAAAAGTGGAGATAGACTTGACCTTTGTGGTGGCAGCCCACACCTTGGCTTAAAATTAGAAAGGAATGACATATTTTAAGAAGACACTAATATGAAATAAAATCATAGAACAGTCAGTTTTCCTAGATAAAAATATTTGGTCTGAAACAAGTAGAAATCTCACCAGAACGTACTAGCAAACAACTATCTATAATGCAGACTTAACACTGCTGAAGTGGCTCCTCAAATAAAATGCCCTCTGAACATAAGCAGAAGATAGACTGATGCACAAGCAAATAAGTGCTCAGGTTGTTAACCATAAAACTTGGAGAAGAAGGACATGGGTAATGAACAGGTATTATTTTCTCATTTAAATATTACTGGAACTGTTTGTAGAAGCCCACCAAAAAATATTGATGCCATTACAGTGCTGGAAACATGCTCCTAATGGCCTGTTCATACACTAGCGATAATCAAACAATTACTTCCTTCCAGAATTACTCTCAACCACAAGCTATTTAAGTTGAGAAAGAAAACTGCTTACCATCCAAATCCATGAATAACCTGAATAAAGGATCATGGTCTCCTCCAAGAATTGGGAAACTGAACAACAGGATGTTCTCTGATGAAAATACAAGCTGCTAGGAGCGGTTCTGCTCCAAACCTTTTGTGGTCAGTGAGTAAGAAAAGCAACACTGGAAACGATGTACAAAGAAAGGAAGTATAAAGGTAACATAGAGCTGACACCAGATTTCTAAATGCATCAGCACCTTTCTAAAATCACTATCTGAAAATTATAACTATAAAATCAAGATTATCTTGGCAGGAAGTTTTTCAAAGAACTGTTGTATACATGTAAAGTCACAGAAGACATTATCTGTATTACAGTCATTAAGGCAACTTAAAATGTTACTGACTTTTTGAATTGTAATTTATTCTATAACCTTCATTCACATGATCCTCAAAATAATGATGTACCTTCACCTTTTGAGCCTTGATTTGGCCCCTGTGATTGGCACACCCATTACCCTGAACTCAGTTACTGGACTTTTTTGTAGTAAAACTAGTTTGCTGCCAGAATTGAGTAAATAGAAAACACCATTGCATTGATTCCTAGTGTGAAGAGTGATCCTGAAGAAATATACAAATGCCATCTCCTAAAAATGGAGCCTTAGAGGAAAAGGAAATCTCTCTGTAAAACCCATAGCCCCGGAAAGTGACCACAGAATATTTTGAAGAACCTTGAGGTTAACCCTCTGTAGGGTAAAATAACACAGTTTACTTATATTGATGGAAAAAATCACTTTATGATACTTCTTCATTTTACATGAAAGGCATATTAATATGGTATAACATTTTTAGACAAGTATGGATGGATAATTAATCCCTGCAGCTCTCTGATACTGGTTCTTTTGACTTTACTTTAGCAATTAGAAACTTGATATAGGATTGAAAAAATTGCTTTGCAAAAGTCTTTTTCTCTTGCTGCTGATAACATTATCTCTCATATGCTTTGATCAACAGAACATTTAGCTAAAGGAGGAGTTTAGAAGTCCCTTCCATACTATCAAAAATAGGAATAATATCACAATATAAAACTTAGCAAGTAGAGAACATGAACAACTCATGTTGGAAGTGTCAGATATAAACTGTCTCTCTGCCAATTTTTAGCATAATCCTGCCTGTAGCACTGAGATTTTGCTTTTGTGCCACATTTGGAAGCTCAGTATTTTATTCTTCCAGTTGCATTAAACTGTGACAATGAGAGACATGCAGAGTTATTTTTTACTAGGATTCAGTCTGTTCAGCAGTCATTTAGCTGGAAATGGCACTGCTTTAAGGCAGAGTTTCCTGACTTAGTTTGTACAGGCACTGTCATCACAGAGAGAAACGGCCCTGCATCATGTCAGTATCAGCCGTTGCAGTAGCAACTTATGGCTGTGTGCAAGCCCTAGTAAGTCCTCTGCTGGCCTTTGAACACAAGGTGAAGGAGGAAGAGGTATTTGATCATTGCCTGTCTCCTTTGGGATTGTTTTGAAATTGCTCTCACTCCATGCACCTTACCTGCAGGTGCCTACTTTAGCACTGAAATCACACACAGATTTTTAATGCTTGCCATCCTTAGATTTCCAAACAAAGGCCAGTGAAAGCACCATTGAATACTTAACATCTGCTTTTTTGCATGAGGAAAAAGAGAGATACAGGAAAGTTAAGGCCCACATCTTCAAAAGCATTAGTGCCTAAGTCTCATGGAAATCAATCTAAGCTTGGAGTCTAACAAGCTATGGACATTTGTGCTCAGGTGACCTAAATGGAAACTCTCCCACTCATTCTGAGATCAATCTTTCTTCATGAAACCAGACCTGTCCCTGCAGCACATAGCGATTGTTGTTCATGGAAACACAATGTATTGAAATGCACAACATACTTTTTTGAACTTTTAGCATCTGAAAACTCCTTTGATGTTCAGAAATGTTTCCAGTTCTTAGAGGGAACCACTAGATAATTGACAATGACAGAGTCTCATAAGGTTTTGAAAAGCAGACTTTATTTAATAGGCACATCATTGCTTTAATAGCACTGGGCTGCACAGCTCGCTTCACCATTTGTAAATGGTTTTTTTTATTACATTGCATTTCCTCAGTGTCGGTAGGATTCAAGTAAAAAAGTTACTGCTTTTACTTCTCTATGATTTCTCAAGATGGAAAAAGAACAATAAACAACTAGCACACAGGAGCAGAATGCAGACAGAACTGCCTGTGACGCAGTAGAAGACAAACTGAATTTTTTTGCACTGAACAGTTAAAACTGCAAGACAACCACACTACATTTGCTCAGATGGGAGTTTGCAATATGCAGGATAGAGATGAATGTTGCCCACTAATACATATAATAATGCATTCTTATATTGAGAAACAAATACTGTCCAACACAGACAAGAATGAGGGTTTCAAAACAGAACAGCTCACATGAAATTAGCTTCCTTCTTATTTCTGATTAGAAAAGTTGTACTCCCTCAACTGTAAAAGTTAAAGGCCTAAAAGAAAAGTACTGCTTACAGAACTCTAAATCTGCAATTTAATCAGCTTTTCCCCCCTATATTACAATCCTTTGTGACAAAAGCATAGCATTCTGGATTATTTTTGTAATTAAGTAGTTTACTTGGTTGTTATATTTCTTCCCTGAAAAACTGCATTTTAATATTTTATTAAATTCCACCGGTAGAAGCATACAAAATCAGAAATCATGAGAGGAAAATAGTATTGCTCTACAAAAGAAAAAAGCATGACTTCTAACATACTTGTAGGAACATTGTAAAAGAAGCGCATATGGCATTGAAACATTTTGAAAATGGATAAATATTTTGTGTTTCAATGTTCTTATGTTTTACATTCTATTTTCTGAATGGATATTTTCAAAGTTATTATCTTGAGATTTTTTTAAATATATTTCAATATATATTTTATAGCATTGTATAGGACAGACAACCTAAAACCAACAAGGCAGATATCTAGCGTGCTGCACACTTCAGTATACACCAGTTAGTTACTAGCACTTTACACTGACGGTACCCTACTGTGTTTGTAAAACTTGTTTTCAAATCAGCTTGTCAAAGCTTTTGAGAAGCAATCTGGGCAATAAGGTGGGTATTTTTAGTGTCTACCATGAATGAGGCCAATTACAGAATCAGAGGTCGCTCTCTCCGTACAATGCTGATGAAAAAGAGGTGTAATCCAGAGCCCCAGGAACAGAGCCTGGGCCGGTGTACGGAGGCATTCTCTTGATGCAGTACTGAGCCTGCTCAGGAGGCAGTTCTCGGCGCAACTCATCTGCCAGGATATAAGGCTGGGAGGGGGAAAAGCATTGACAAATTCAGTATGTATTCTTCAAAGACACAATGTATTTTTTTTCTGTAGCTATGACTAATAAATTTGGACATCTTGCCTATTTTTCTGAGACCAGATATTTTCCCTGGTAAATTCCATCCCTAATTATGAGTTGAAGGAGACAAGTCTACCAACAAACTGATTAGGTCAAAATGCAGTCTTGGGGTACGTGACTGTGCACGTTAGCTACCAAGCACTGTGCAGCCACAGGTAGCCTGCTATTGATACAGCTCATCCCTATATAGTCAGGATCTCAAAAGTGCACTACTGCCCCTTCTGCAGTGACAGGACAGACACAGGTGGTTCCTGTTAGTTTCAAGGTTCTAATATATGTATAGTGAAAGATGCATTATTGTTCTTAATGGTTTGCATTTGTGATATGAGGGATACCCTCTGTTAACAGACTTGACATTGCTTAAAATAGCAATGTCATGAAAACCATTTTTTCCTGAGACCATCTTCCACATGAATTGCTACTGAGTACATGTCTGGAATTCAAAATGTGGTCCACATTAACTGAGATCACAAAATCAATACAAACAGGCAGAATGAGAAAATCAATAGAGCGAGCTTGGGCAAATAGACCTGTGCTGCTGTGATCTCTCCTTTCTGCACAGCACAGGATTGGTTTCCTGGCAGCACTGTTTATGGCCCTGACTCCTCCAGAAGCTCTTGTGTTGCCATTATACACCCTCTCATCTTCATACACCGCTGACCAGTGGATCTGGCAGTGGGCAGGAAAGTATGCCAAATTCAGGAGCTTCCCCCACAAATCCTGTAACTAGGGCCTCCTCCTTCTGGCTCCTCCTGGGATAGGGGTACACCACATTGCATCGCCCTGTTGAATGAGCTGTTTGGTCACAACGGGGCTCAAAATTAGGTAAAGTCTTGTGCAACTGACCCAGGCTATGTTCCAGACGCCCAAACTTCACATTGAAACATCCAGACAACAGCATGAAAGGCAGAATGAGTTCCCCTCTAATCAAGGATGTTGTGTGGAAATAACCTGATGTACAATATATCCATTACACAGACCAACTGTCCAAGTCTTGTCTAAGATGTTTGATTTTGTGTTTGCTCTCTGGGATATGAGAATACATGGACCAAGCCTTGTATTCTGCACCCATTTCAGGTAAGAATGTTGGTTCCAAGCAAGACAAAAAGGCAAGTGCTTTCTCTGAAGTTTTACAAACTGCAAACAAAGCTTCACTATTACTAAAAGGCTTGTATAAGAAGGGCTAAAGAGGAAAGCTGTTGAATCCTTACAGCCAGCAGCATGGTGACTGACCTTATCTGAAGCCAGGATTCTGAAGGAAGCTATCACTTGCTCAGCTGTGTCTGTGTCTGCCGTTTCTCTGGTCATGAAGTCAATGAAGGACTGGAAAGTGACGGTTCCTTGGCCATTGGGGTCAACCAGAGACATGATTCGGGCAAACTCAGCTTCACCCTTTCACAGAATCCAAAACAAAAAATGGTCACCGTAATATCAATCTCCAGCAGCCCAAACTTCTCATGAACCAGTCGGAACCACTGGTTACTGACCCTTTAAAGCATTTTCCTGACTTAGGAACATCAACATCAGAGTTGATGAAATCCAGGATCTTAAATGCCCACCCCTCTTTTGTAAAAAGGACTGTGTTTTTGAAAAATGTATCCTTTGTCGTAACTACCGAGTATGTACCTTTCAATTAACTGTCTCCAGTTTCTCTCCCTCCTACCCTCCCTCAATGCCTGTTTAGGTTAACTTAACACTTCATTTTCCACCTCATCCTAAAATCATTGTAAATTTAGGTACCACACAGGAAGGTGAAACAATAGCCCAAGAAGCAGTGTACTTGCAGACCCACTGAACTAAGAGGGGGAACAATTCTGAAAATTTCGTGCCAAATACATGTCAATTTAACTAAGGATAATCGTTTTGTTTGGGTGAATTTCGGAGGAAATTTTTAGAGTAAGTAACCGAAGCAAAGAAAATGCAACTCCCAAAGCAAGTTTATGAGAATTAAACAGTATCAAACTCAATCTTCATCATGCAGGTAGAAAAGGATAAGTTTAAAAAAAAATAATTTAGTAACTGCTAATTTCAACTTTTAAAGTTTCCTTAATTCAAAGAGCAATGCATTGGACCACAGAATATGGTTTTCAAGTGTCTAGTTTTAACTTCCCTTTTAACCATTTGAAGTTAGAGAAAAAACAAAGAAACAAAAAAATAGTATCTCTTGTGTAATTATATTAGTATTCTATCTATTTAAACAAGCTTTAGTGTTTATGTGGTTAACATTATAGCTATAAGCAGAATCAGTTGACATTGTTTCTTAAAACTCCTACCAAATCATAACCCATTGAAATTAAGCAAGCTCTGAAATCATCATGGTCCATCAATCCATTCTTCCTCTATTGACCAAAACAATGTAAGGAATATAGAAGGGAAGGTTTGAAGAATCCCAGGCAATTTCCAGAGAGATGATGAGTTTAGACCATTGGCATATTGGATCCAGTGCATGAACAGTATTCATTGATGTTGCCCGATCAGGTCACCAGAATCATCATCAGTTTTAAAGGAGGAAGAAGTAACTAACATATTACACACAGGAAACAGACATTTTCACCACAAAAAGTAACATCAGGAAAGGTCAGGGAGAGACAAGGGAGAAGAGGAGATGAATGGGACAAGAATACAGAGAACACAACCATGGAAGACAAAGAGAAGTGCAAGGAGAAAAGTTTGTTACTAAACTAGTCAAACTCAGGAGATGCTCAAGCTGCCTCCCTGATATGAAATGTCTTTGAAAGGTTCTGCATGGAATCTGTAGTGGCTATAAGTATAGTAAAAACCAGTCATGTACTTCACTCCAAGGCCAGGGTAGGTGCACTATGAGAGCTGTTTGCTGACATATGGGAAATAAGTACAGGGATTTTCTTTCTGACTGCTGGCTGTCAAGACCTGGACTATAGCAGAGATATGCATACTGGCTTAAAGGATGAGATTTACAAGACTTAGAAGGAGGTCAGTTGAAGACCTTGTATAAAATGAGGTTGCTTATTTTCCAGGCAATAACATATCTTTGACATTCTGGACTGAAAGCTGAGTAAATATTAAATGGCATGATTGTAAGAAGGTAACTGTTTCCTCTGTGCTGTGATATAATGCAGTGGTTTGGAGAGAATCGTGTCATCTTCAATCTGGATAAATCATAAGAGAACTTGTATTGAGTCCTAGGAAAGAAAAACTGGGAAAAGTCTGAGTGCAAGAAGCATAGGAGTTCCCCTGGGTATCTAGTAGGGTCCAAATAAAACATCTCAAGCCAAGTAAAAGAAACAAACTGCATATAAACCGCATAGAAAAATACAGCTCCAAGTGATGCTGACAGTCCATCTAATCCAGTTGTCTTCCCAGATATAGGATCTTTTCAAAGCATTATGATCAATAGACTGGAGTTTAAACACACAATCTCTTTGGCTATTATATTGGTCTGTTTGAAAACAGAATTAAATCAGTTTCCTCTACCTGCAGGTCATTTCCAACCTGTCCTAGACTGATGAGGCAGGCTTTAAATTCATCAGACTGCAGATTGTGAGACTCGTCCTAGCATCCCATCACAGGTCATGCATTTGGGAAGGTGAAAGGAAAGAAAGAAAAGTCACAGATCAGGTTAGTTGGTTAGTAGAGAACATTCTACTTTTGTATTAATAATCACATTTTTACAGAATTTCATGGAAATGTATGTCAGCATATTGCAATGAATTACCTGAAAAGTGTACAGGTTTTGCAGTTGCATGTTTTAGTGTTTTTCTTAGCAAAAGAGGATCCTCACTTCAACTAAAGAGTTAAAACTCTGCTTCCTCCACAGGGTTTGGTTTGGGTTTTATAAACATTTTTGCTGACAAGGCACTTTTAATTCTATTGAACTGCCATTTGCTTCCTTCATTTTCTATCGTCATGCAGTATATGTGAGATGCAAAAAAATATCACTGAACCTGGGCAAAACATATTTCCCCACTCAATTACTATTCCTTCACTCTTGATCTGATAATATTACTTAACATAATACACATATCTCAAAAGAGAGAAGTACAAAATAAATTTTTAATTGGCAACTTATTTTCAGTTATCTGTCTTCTTTAATAATCTATACATTCAGGTTTTGCTTTGAAAACTGATTTTAAAAAAGCCACATTGAATTCCAGGTTAAGTGGCTTCTAGTAATACCACATCAAACTGAACCAATTTTTTTTTTTTTTTTGAACCAATACTTTTTTCTATTTTGCAGGTTAAAAAACTGCCACTAAATTCTTAAAAACAGACTGGCTTGTCTTTTTGTTCCTGTTCATACACAATGTGTACTATCAGAGCGGTACTTTAGACTGAGTAGCATAAATACAATTAAAAAGATGTTCTAAGATGAAAAATTATTACCCCCATTGATTTTACAGTCATTTTGGAAAAGATACAAGTTTTTCTGTCTGCTACATATTTACCTGCTAGATGAATAATTTATTTTTTAAAAATTTCTATGTAGCTATGCGTAAGTAAAATTATAGGAGTTTTAACAAATGCACTGAGCTTATTTAATATACTAATAGGATGAAGTGGTACTTTATTAAGTTAATAACACTATGCATTTTTTGAAATATCATGCTGTTATTGACTCCCTCTGTGTCAACATCCACCAGATCCATAAAGGGAAGAGGAAAAATAACAGTGAGAAGTCAATGAAGAGAAAAAAAGCAAAGTTACAAATCTGGAGCAGCATTTTGTTAAAAGCCATAATCACAGTAAACTTTTTATCCTTTAATATTTCCATTTTATAGGATAATTCCTGCTATAAAGCATTCAAAATGGCTTATTTTATCACTCTGAAAATGTTAATCTAGACTGGCTTAAAACTTTCAAAAACCATCCTGGAGACAGGCTATGGCAGGTCACAGCAGGGGTGAAGTTATTTCTAATTTACCTTATTTCTAAAGCTGAAGATACTATTTTGTGACTGCAAATAAAATGATCTAAAAATGGGAGCTAAGAGCAAAACACTATCATCCATCTCTAGCAGCTGTTGGTAGAGGACTATGAGCTACTTGACTCCTCCGGGGAGTCGGTGGTCAGTGTGTGCATGAGCTCCCTATCTAGACACACAGGGCAGTGGGAGTCATGCAAGAAGCAGTGAAGGGCAGATGGGAGTGAGAGGACAGCACATCTACCAAGAAACCATTTTCTTTAGGAGAGAAGTGCAATGGTTGTGCTGGAACTGAGAGCTGTCATCTGGTTAAGTGGGACTCCCTAGTGAGTGTCCAAGTAGTTGTGCCAAGTGCTATAGCAGATTCTCACATTCTTGTAGTGAAATTTTCTTTTCTAATCTCCATCGTATACAGCCTAAAAGGGCATATTTGCCTTAGCAGTATATCAGAGTTTCAAGGGATTCAATAGCATTTTGTAATTAAGGCATAGAACACGTCCATGCAAAGGCTTTCTCATTTGGAAATAACTCATGCTATTTATTTTTATTGTTTGTAGACCAACATTAGGCACTGAAATTCATTTTTAAAGCATATAAATAACTTTGACTTGTTCATCTTTTCCTGCCAATACAAAGTAAAACACTGAAAACTCACTTCATGTTTCATTATTAATCCCCAGAAATCTTTTCCCTCATCCTTGTGATTTATATTTGGCCTTATAAAACAAGTGAGCTTCTGAGTCAAACTAATCCATTCTCAAATATGTTCTTCATTTTCCTGAATGCTAATTGACCTGCATAAGCCTGAATATATGGTTCCTTTAGTAGGGAGCTGTTGTTTTTCTGTTAGTAAAATATAGGGTGGTATGATGCTATTGTTCATCATGCAGACCTCCTACTTGAAACCTGAAGTTTGCACAAAAATCAATAGTAGAATATGTTAGCAGCCATTAGGATATTGCAGGCAGAGCAGCCGCAGATATTTTCTCACATACTTCACAATCTTATTTAGAATTTACTAAATATACTGAATATGAAAAAGGAATCCCTCCATAAAAAGACTTCAAAACCAGTGACTGACAATGTGTCTGTGTGGTGTCCCAATTTGGCTGCATACCATTATTCAGCTATGCACCATTTTGAACACTTCTAAGCTGCTTCTGTGATTCAGACATTGTGTCCCACTTTCTCTTTTTTAGTCTGTGCAGTCACATTAAGGAAGGAAATAGCAGCACTGCTAAAGATTTATATTTATACCTACAACTAGACTGTGCCCTCAGGCACAGCCTCCAGCAAGGAGTAATGGGAAAGCAGCAGCATCCTCAGGAATAACCTCTGGGGTACCAGTGTGCGTACCTGGCTGTTGGAAACACAAGAGGGCTGCCCCCTTGACCCAAGGGAAAGAGCATATTTACCACTTGCCTTTAGCTTTCTGTGCCACCGCATCTCTGATGGTGGATGCACTGACAGAAACAGAACTCTTCCTGCCCTTGTAATTCTTAGATGCATGGTGCCCACTTACTCACGCCATTTTGAGAATCTGGGACATGCAGCCCCCCCTCAAAAAAAAGTTGTAAAATGCTGAAGAGCTTTCTTTCAAATATTTGAGATGTAGAAGACATTTAAAACTATTCACCCAATTATTTAGCTCTCTTTCAAAGGATTAAAAACTGCAGAATTAAGCCACATAATGGATTATGAACTGTAAGATTTTTATTTTTTTAATATATTCTTCCTGGGGAGGAAGACAGAGGTTCCTTCCACAGATTTATAAGCAAAGGATGCTGTTTCTAGAGCAATCTATAAAACGTTAGATTTATGTATACCCAAAAAATGTTCTTTAAAATGGGAAAGGGAGTACTCTGCCTATTAGTACTTTGCTGACATCCTCAACACAGACTGAGAGTCAGACATTGAGAAATGTTTTAAATTGGAGAAATGCCAGAGCTATAGAAAAGTCAGAGCTATAGCATGCATAAATGATTCTGTTGTGCTTAGATATTTAAAGAGCCTCCTTGTCACAGACAGTATTAATTTTCGGGATCCTCTCTGACTATTCATCCTTGTGAACGGCAGTCCAATTCTTTCAGAGTATTTTTTAAACTGCATCAGGCATTCAGCTATGCTGCTAAGTGCAACAAAATTTTTAAATATACTGTTAATTCCATCTGACATGGAAAAGACAGTATTTTTCATGTTAGTGCTTACTTTCAGATAATCCAGTTTAATCTTCATTTCTATTTAAGGAAATCAAGACCATAAAAGAATCCATTACTGCCTTCTCTGTCTAAATTCCAAGTTTAAAGTCTTCATTATTTTGTATAAGCTGACATAACTCTGAAGCACCCGGAGTTTCCTTTATTCACCAACACTAAAGATTCATGTGTGCAAGGACATAGGAAAGATAGAAAAATGAAAATTGAGCCTGCCTCTCTCAAACATGTTTGTTCAATATCTCCTTCTAGCCTGTGTAGATTGAGTTGCATCTGTCCATTAAGTAACACTATAATTTAATCCATATAAGCTTTTCTTTTTTCAGCATTTCTACTATCTGTCCCTTGCAGAAAGCCTGGCTTGATGGCTAAGTGGTTTTAGACCTTACCTTCTTCCTTTCTTTAACTTGCATTATGCTACAGAGAACATAATTGTTTCACTGTCAGAAGTCCTCCTAGACTAGTTTCCAATGTCTGATGCTGACAGAAGGGGTCCACTAAAGAGGGCATTTGCAAAAGGGTCTTTCCCTTTACGTAATCCTTCCAGACCTCTCTTGTAAGGCTGTTGGATTATATCTGAAATGAGGGAAGGCAAGGTCTACAGCTAAACTTGCAGTCCAGGCCCAGGTTATTGAGGCCATAGAAACAAATGAGAATGAATCATGAATGATAGATGAATTATCTGTCTCCTTATGCCTCTGACCCAGCCACTCAGGCTTCCTGAAACAGAAGCCAGGGCAGAAGGAGCACAGGCTGAAGCCATGAGTCATTATAGCCTGAGGAAAGGAGACAGTCAGGGATAGGTAAGAATCTAGGAGATGGGAAGCAATTTTTGTGTTACACATTATTGTTGTAGCCCATCTCCAGTGTGCTGCCAGCTGTGTGACATGACCACCCTCTTCCAGGTTATGCAGACTTTCCTAAGGCCTTGTTCTATTGTATCCTTTGCTATCTCAGTCTTATTGTATCTGCAAAGCCTAAAAATCCATAACAATAGGGCCGCTTGGTGTATGATTTAGCTTTTCCCTTCAAGACATTGTGAGGCACCAAGAGATGGCCACAGTATCTTCTCAGCCACTAAACCAGCCTTGCTGCAAGGGTGCCAGAGAACTCGTCTGTGAACTACAAAGGTACAGGGATCCTACAAATAGCCATCCAGTGTAAGATATACCAGGATTCAGTCACCTTGCTTCCTTGTTTTTAGGGAGCTGTCAAGTGTTTGTGCAAAGTCCCTGTTTTCCTTTAATGAGGTCTCTCAAATACTGGCGTGTAATTTATCCAGGTCTGGTACTCTGTCTGCTTTTAATAGCTCTAATTGCTCAGTTATCTGCTCCAGTGCATTGGGAAAGCCATTTAGTATGCTACATCCTTCCACCCCAGAAAACTTATCTCTGTTTCTGTGATGTTATCTTCTGCTTCCTTAGAAAATACAAAAAAAAAAAAAAAAAGAATTATGCTGCACTAGGATCACATTAAGATTTTTCCATAAAATCCATTCCTGGTTCCTGTGTAGCTAAACTTCCTTATGCTTGCGTGTTTCTTCAGAAAGCAGAGGTTTGGCAATTCTGTTCTTCTTTCTAAACAGTTAAGGGTATTCTAAACAATATTTAGCAAACTAAGACTGTCAGTACCCAATGGATATCAAATGCAAGTGCAGGTATGGGTAACCAGTTTGAGTAGAGCTGGACAAACAGGATGTAAGGGAAAAGAAAGTGGCATTTTGCTACAGCCTGAAATGATTTGAAGAAGCTGACTCACATGATAACAGAATATAAGTCAAAAGTTATGCATAGACTGCTAAGTACAGCAATCTGTACTGGTAAAAAGACAACAGCTCGATGCTGCATTATGGTAACCTTTTTCAGTACGTGAACTGTGAACTTGGTTTTGAAGGTGGGTTCAAGCGAGCACAGAGCCCTCAAAGCTAACTCATGTACAGATTGTTCTCCAGTTGGGAATGTCAGATCCCTATCTGCATGTATTTTGCTATTGTCTCTATTAGTAGTTATCTTTTTAACCCTCTGACCATGAATACTGCATAACTTATAGAGGTAAGTTTCTTCACAGTAGTGTTTTCCTTCTTACTTTTTCATTCATCAATATTTAGATAACTGAAAAAAATAACAGCCTGTTATTTCCCATATGCAGCCAGAAAAATAAAGGATAATCCTGGACAGCTATCAGTGCCCCAATTATATTTCCTACAAATATATTTCTAGGGAGGTAACTTGTGATTCAAAAAAAAACCAACCTGTAATCCAGATTACAGCTTAATTTAATGAGCTGTAAGCAAACAGCAAGTACATAGAACATGCTGTACTATCTTAAAATAAAAGACATGTTATTAGCCAAAACACACAGATTTATTCAGCTCTAGTTGTTATTTGAACAAATACTAAACCATATTAGCAGAACTATAATTCTGCATTATATTTAAAGAGTAAAAATTAATCTTTAATTTATCTGTACAATGCTATTAGGTCGTGTGGGTCCCTGAGCAACCCGACCTAGCGAGTGTCATCCCTGCCCATGGTGGGGAGTGGAAATAGATGATCCTTAAGGTCCCTTCCAACCCAAGCCATTCTATGACTTTATAAGGCTATAAATTCTTTCTTAACTGATCTTTTTTTTCTCCTTTAGAAAGAGCCCATTGCTACTGCATTTGCAGTTTTTTAAAAAGGCTTACATTTGGAATGGAAAGAAACGCACTTTAAGGAAGAATAAAGATTGCTAGCTGAGAAAAAGCAGGAGTACTGTACCCTGTCAAAATGATTGAATGATGCTCTGAAGTCATTCATTTGTTCCTGGGTGATACCCTTGGCATCTCTTGTGAGGATCTGAGTCTCAACCTCGTTGATAGTTCGAGCAATGGTGGTAAGTAGAAGCTCCCATCCAACACGGATGTGCTATGAGAGAGAAAATACTTATTTATTACAGAATCAAATATATTCTTCTAAGAGTATAAAAAGTACAATAAGAAAAAAATCAGCTCCAAGTATTTATGTGATACATTTTCCATACCACTAACTCTGTATTATGACCAAGGATCATTAAAAATAAAAATGGCCTTCAGAAAAATACAGAACTCGTTTCTAAAATGGATACTTCTTCACTAAATGTGAAAATAAATGAAAATAAAACAAGTCTTATGATATTATCATAAAACCTGCCAAATTTCATCCTTTGTGGCAGTACCTTCATATCAGGGAAGGTAGTTACACAGCAGAAGAGGGCAGAATAAACTAACAAGTACAAAAGGGAGTAAATGTCTACCTCCATAGTATAGTTGGTGTGCTTGTTGTCAAACACCAGGGCTTCTTGTATAAGCTGATGATCTCCTTCCAGTTTGTCAATGTTGTGTTTATAATTAATGATATTGTGCTCATATTGCTTCAGCTGATTCATCTGGTCCTCCAAAGGCCCTGTCATTTCAATAGAACTGCGGGCAATTTCCTGTCAGAAGAAACAGACACCCCCCAGTCCCACAAAATTTGAGCTTTATATTTGCTAATTTGACCAACTTTAACATAAATACATAGTATTTTCATAGTATTTTCATACTAAGAAGCAATAGTAATAAAACATTCATATAGTAGAGACAAGAAATTTTGCTGTAGAAAACACATTTCAAAAGAAATGTGGCACATTTATATCTGGAATCAATATTGAGACCCCAGTGATCTTAGTATCTTTTCTACAAAAAGCAGAACCTAAACAGTAATTGTTTAGTGATTGATTTTTCAAAGCTGAATCTCCTGCTCACCATCAAGGTACCACTTGTACAAGCTTCCACAGTTTTAAAAATCATCTTAACAGGTGCTAAATAGTTCAGGATCAAACACCTGGTAAACTATCATGGACTTTGCTGTTGCCCTGTATATAAAGTAGAGATAAAAAATTATAAACCGCTTTGTTCATCAGCTACTGCATGAGAGTCTGACACACACCTCCATCTTGGTCTGGATCCATGGCCCGATGACATTGGCCTGAGCAGCAAACTGGCGACGCAGGCGCTCGTTGGCATGTTGGCGGGCTAATTCCTCCTGCAAGGATTGATCCCTCTGGGGCACCAGCTGCTTCACCTGTTACAGTGGGAAAGTACTAAATGTGAGTAGGCACAATCGAACAGTTTAAAAATAAATGGAACAAATAAGTCTGCAGTGACTAATTTTTGTTATTGGTCTGAAGGTCGATATCAGAAGAACAAGCCAGAATCATGATCCCTCTTTTATTAACAAATTCTTCGCTAACATAAGAAATTGATAACATAGTCTTGGGCAGCCTGACAAGACAGACTGAAATGGAGAGGGAAGAAATTCTCACCTCTGGCTGGATTCAAGTTCAAGACAATTATTTCACTTGAACTGCTGTTAGAGCAGTTACTTTGTTTTCTTTTGAAATGTGGCTGATTTTACAGTCTCTAAGTAATTGTTCTAAGAACAGCTGGTGCAAATCATTTTATTTGAGCACAGCCATTATGATAGTATGAGACATGTTCTGTCCATCATGTGTATCTGAAGGTCTCTAATTCATTGCAAATGCTTTTGTTTGGCTTACCCTTCTGAATTGCCCAGGGAGATTCTGGCCTTAGTCCTTACTGCTTGGTTTTTATAACCCATTGAGGGTGTGTTCTTGTCCAGGTAAGTTTATGTAATTCCACACTCTACACAATAATGTACCTTCAGCATATTATCTGTCTTGGTTCCTAATTAAATAAAGTTTGTGGGAATGCTCTAGGAGCCTCTCTTTAATCCCTCTCCAGGAATTTTCAATTGCCAATGCCAATTTCAATCTAATTGGATGGAACATTAATGGTCCCAAAAATGCTAATTTTATATAACATTTGTGAAAAGCAGCATCTGGGTAGAAGAGACACACAAACTACTGTTTATACTAAGAGAAAGAATACAATAATTTTATGTTCTTTTAACAGCACCCCCTGGCCAGCCACCAGCTCTGCATTAGCCTGAACACATGATTCTCTTGCCCTGCTAAAAGCCAAGGAGGACATAGGTAATACTGAGTGATGGGAGCAAGGGATATTGTGAAGCAAGCCTGGCAAACATAAAGGATAGCATAAGGTACTGTAGAAAGTTCATTCTGGCATCTGATGATCTAGAATAATTTAGAGACTTATTTTAAAGTTGTCTGAATATTCTCAGAATTCCTAAACTAGAACACTGTGTTACAATGTCCTTTATGTATTTAGCATACGTTACCTTTTCCCACTTGCTGCGAATCTCGTCAACAGTAACAGTGCTGTAAGGATTGGTTGCACTTATTCTCATGCTATAACTCTGGATAACTTTTTCAACTTCATTCTGGATCGACAGTATGGCCTGTCTTTCACCATCTGCCTCTGGCAAAGTTGCTTTAAACTGATCGTGTGCAGAGATCAAACTCTAAAATCAGAAACAGAGGGGAAACCATGAAAACTTTACCATTTCTTCCAACATCTGGAACATCTGCTGTAAATAAGCACAGCTCCTCTCTCAGCCTCTCAAACATCCTGTCTACATGTATCTGTAGATACAGGAAATAACACATTTAGATACATTCACAAAACAGCCCTCAAGGACTTTATCAGGACCATTGTTTCATACCAACAAAGACCTCTATTTATAATAGAGCAGACATGGCCCATCACAAAGAAAATGTCAAGACAGATATGGGTATTTTTCTTACAAGTGTTCTACTCTCCCAGAAGCAAAATCTTCCTTTCTTGTTTTCCCTATGACTCTAAGCAAAAAAAACCATTTACCTGAATTTCCTCTATACTATGAACAATAAACATGTCCTGTAGGTCTTCCATAGCACCTTCCATCCAGTTGTTGAAAGGAGCAGCTCTTTTGGCAAACTCCAGGTGAAGCTGATCAATTGTTTCGAGCAATTTCTCCGTCCTCTGTACAGGTTGGGCAAAGTACATTCCTTTGTTACTAGGGCAAGATCTAGCTCCACACAACACACATACCCACCCATGCACAAAGTCATGCCTTGTCTTTTCAAAAGCATTTGATTGCATTGACTGATTTCACCACCTGCTTTGAGGATTCCCACTCAAGGCAATAGGACTAATTGCAGTAAAGATACTCTCATATCTAACACATTAAAAGGGGTGAATGTATGCCTTTGAAGTATAACTACTGATATTTTAAGTATTTTTGTTGGGATCTATCTGCAAATGAATTAAAATCTGCTAATCTTGATTTAGTAAATTTAGTAATTTCTTGTAAGTACAAAAAGGAAGAGTTAGACATATGTTTTCCACTTTGGCATACGTGTACGTGACTTCCTCTTTTCCTAAGAAACAAGGTTTTGGAAAGTAACTCAGTGCTTTGGAATACTTACTACCAAAAAATTAACCCACTGCTGGCCAGATAAGTATGCAAGACTGCAAATTCAGACAAGGATGAAAAGGTATGTAACCAATGGCTTTTGTTAGCTGTGCTGGACATCAAATTCCCACAGAGTGGTTCTACAAACTACATGCCACTTGTTGCTGCTTTAGAACTATCCCTGGCAGCTGAGTACTCTCAAGTCTGCTCTGAGCAATCCTATCTGTTTGCAAATGAAATCACACAAAGATGAAATAGAGATCTGAGGAAAGGGTTTGGATTCCAAAGTGGATGCTCAATGGCACCATTTCCAGATCTGAAATAAATGGTTCATTTCCCCCCTGATCATTGTTATATGGTTTACCTCCAGTGCCTCTCTCCTTTTCTGAGTGAGTGTTCCCAGGCTGTCCCATTGGTCGCATATCTTTTGGCATCTATCATTGACACTTGCAGCATCGTGGTAGTCTAGTTCACTAAGAAAGAGTGAAGACAAAAATCTGTGTGACTTTCTGAAAGACAGGAGCAGTTGCACTATTCACGTTTCCACTGGCCCTCAGTAATTCTTCCCCTCTTTTTTTGCAATATTTCTCCTCAAGGCAAGCAAGTGTTGCAGTATAGGAATGTGTGATCTAGAGATTCAACATTTCAAGAAGCACAGCACAGGATCTGGATCAATCTCCTCTGTTGTGAGAAAAATCAAGTATCCACCTGTGACATCCAGATATTAAAGACAATTAAGGTGTCTAAGCATCTTTATCTTAGCTATTCCTGTGGCACAAGCAATTTGATCTCCCAAAGATCATCATGCTCCAGTCTGGGTGTTTATCAACTTTCTGAAGATTGGTATAGTTTTAAATTAATTGGCCTGAAATATATATTTTGTTCTAAATAATCCAATGATCCTTTCAATCCTTTTATGCTCTGAAAATATTTAACTGAGAAATATACCTCAGGTTCATTCAAAGCGTAATCTATCTCACAGGCCTGGCAATACTAATAGGGGCTGCCCAGATCTGGGACACAGGGAACAATTTTCATCTTCCTTTTCAGGAACTCCTCACAGAGGTACACCACAGAACTGGCTAGTTCAGAGACCAGGGATCTTCAGACCCACATATGCCACCAGCAGGAATCAGCACACCCAGAAAGGATGTGGCAGTTACCATTCCTTTCTCACCTACTTAATAGGCTTATATTATCCTGATAGAAAGAACTTACTATTGTGCCTGAGACTGGAATAAATTTTTAAGGCTCTGTACTGAGATTCTGCACTGAGTCGGCCTCAAACTGAATTTTTGATTTTGGTGGCAGATAATACCTATCCATAACACAATACATGTGTTTGACACTTTGGAAAGTCATTTTTATCAGTGTATCACCATCCACTGAATTCAGCTCTTGGCTGCTCCTTGAGGACACTTTGCCCAGTACTAAGCATCGCAGAGATTGTGATTATGTGACACATGGCAATATGAATTTAAGATTTACTTTGAGGCTTTAATAAGTCAGTAAATGCAGATAGAATTTTTTCCCTTTTTTTTGAGTATTCTTCCCTAGGCAATTTGCAAGAAGATTGTACAGATCACACTGCCAGTAACATAGAGAATCACAGAGGACAAAAGGAGAATAGAGGCAGTTTTCCTCTGTGAAGCCAGAGGCCAGAAGCCAGAAGCTCTGTAGGCCAGAGGCAGTGCTCATGCTTCCTCCACAGAGCAAACTGATATGGGATAAAGCTGAGAAGTATGTGAAACATTCTGTTTAAAAGAGGCTTCAGATGTGCTGCAATCAATTGACTGTTGAAAGTGAAGAATGGTAAAACAGGTAAGAATAAATGCCGTAACAGAATCACAGAAACACAGAATGAGTCAAGTTGGAAGGGACCACAGTGGGTCATCTGGTCCAACCTCCCTGCTGAAGCAAGGTAATCCGAGAGCATGTTGCACAGAATTGCATCCTGCTGGTTCTTGAATGTCTGCCGTGAAAAAGACTCGACCTCTCTGGACAATATATTCCAGTGCTCTGTCACCCTCACAGTAAAGAAATTCTTCCTCATACTCAGATGGAATTTCCTGTGCCTCAGTTTCTGCCCTTTGCTTCTTGTCCTGTTGCTTGGCACCACTCAGGAGAGCCTGGCTCCATCCTCTCGACACCCTCCCTTGAGATACTTAGAGACATTGATGAGGACCCATCTCAGTTGTTTCTTCTCGAGGCTGAACTGGCCCAGCTCCCTCAGCCTTTCCTCACAAGAGAGATGCTCCAGTCCCCTAATCATCTTTGTAGCTATCCGCTGGACCTGCTCCAGAAGCTCCACATATCCCTTGTATTAAGGAGCCCAGAACTGGACACGGCACTCCAGATGTGGCCTTGCCAGGGCTGAGTAGAGGGGCAGGATCACCTCCCTCAGCCTGCTGGGAATGCTCTTCCTAATGCACCCCAGGATACCATTGGCCTTCTTGGCCACCAGGGCACACTGCTGGCTCATGGACAGCTTGTTGTCCGCCAAGACCTCCAGACCCTTCTCTGCAGAGCTAGTTCCCAGCAGGTCAGCCCCCAGACTGTGCTGGTGCAGGGGGTTATTCCTTCCCAGTTGCAGTACCCTGCATTTGCCCTTGTTGAACTTCAAACAGTTCTGCTCTGCCTAATTCTCCAACCTGTCAAGGTCCTGGAAGGTAATGTGCCACGTTCCTCCACCAGCTCTGCCAGGGATGTTCAGCCATTGCCAATAAGATCTCTGCTATCCTGTTTCTTCCAGGGATATGTGATGTGGACAAATAGGTAAGAGAATAACATCAAAACAACTTTTAAAAAGGGCACCAGTTGATCAAAAATTGTAAGTTAGATTACCAAGTGGCATTAGTGTAGCTGCAGTACCCCTCTGGGCCTGCTGTTGTTTACTTCAAATAAGTGTATTACATGTGTCACAGAACATTTTTCTGTTCAAAGAACAAGTAGAGAAAGAAATAACTCATAGGAGACTAATTACTTGGAAATAAAACACAGGCTCACATTCCTTGTCCTATTAATTTTTATATCTCTCTCAACATTAAAGAGACTAGATTTCAGATTTTGTAAAAAGTTTTGCTTTGCAGTACATGAAGTACTGCTGCACATGTGTTTCAGACCTCCTAAGGGAACATTAATTTCTATTTGTTTGGTCATTTGAAATCTACAGCCTTGGGAATTATTAATTAAGTTATTCCTATTGCTCTTACTAGTAACTCAATCTTATCAGTCAAATTTTGACCTGATCCAGAGAAGCACTTAAGTATGAGCTTGCTTTAGGAACAGTGATAGTGTCACAAAAATAACCCACTGAGCAATATGCTTTAGCACTGCTTCAGAACAAGGCTCATGTTAACCATGCACATAAGCACAATTTGAGCCTAGGTCTCCAGAATTAAAAAGACTCTCCAAATCAGTGTTACAGACAGTGCTCTGCTTAGCTGAAATTAAGTTGCTATACTAGAAATGATGGGTATACAAGAAAATGCATTCCGAAAGTTTTACCTTGATGATTGAAAATATTGAAATAAGCACAAAAGATCATAAATTAACATGGCTCTTCATAATACAGCTCACTCAAGTGAGCATTTGCTATGTCATAAATGATAAATCTCATTTTAGAAATGCCTGGCTTCTTTCAGCTTTATGTATAGCCCTATACAAGCCCTGTCATGCCTCTTTGCCAAGGAATATCCAAGTCTGTACAGGCTGGGAATCTTATAGCAGCATCCTGGCTGGAATCACCTGTTTGCATACACGCATAAATCCTTTATCTAAACAGCACCAAACAACAAGCTTGTGGCAACTTCACCTTTAAGCACACAGTGAACTGAGCTGCTGCAGCAGAAAATACCAGAACGGACAGGAAACTGTAACAAGTAGAGTTCAAGGTCATACAACAATTGTTCTCCTTTGAAATAGGAATGTTAGGCATCCAATAGATTGACTAATCAAAACATGGAGGTGTACTGACTTGGAATTTAGACACAGATGCTGATGATTTCTGTAAGGGCCTGATTCAGTGATGAGGAAAAAAATATACACACACTTTGTGTGTAGTGCAAATGCACATTTCTTAGCATTCAGATAGTAATCCTTTAAAAATATGAATGAAGAAAGAAATCAGCATTTTCCTCCATCATCTCACTGTGGGAGGAATGATGTATAAATAATTAAAATCAATATTTAAATAGAAGCTGCCTATCTGCTTGAAGCCAATGATAAAACCTGACCTTTATGACCTTTCATTCAGTGTTCTCCAAGGGCATTAAGCCTAACTGAGCTACTGAGTCACAGTGAAAATCAGGCACTGATAGCCCCATTGTATGGAGAAGAAGAGAAGTCAAATTAGAGCATCTCTAAAACCAATCAGCTTTCAGCACCTTTGCTGCCCAGGCCACAAATAACTTGTTTAACTTCACACAGCAAATTACTGAAACAACTGAGAAGAGACAATCCCAAAATAGATAGGATACAGCATTCACTGGCATCACCAGAGGTAAAGGACACAGGGTTCTAAATACTGGTAAGCAGATGCTCTACTACGTATACTACATTCCCCAAGTTTCTCATAACTCATGAAGCTGAAGCTGAATTAACAATGATTAGGTGTTACAGAAACTTTCCTTAGTATAAAGAGAAACAAATCTTGGGGCAATCCCATGCACAAATACAGGCTGGGCAGAGGATGGATTGAGAGCAGCCCTGGGGAGAAGGACTTGGGGATGTTGGTTGACAAGAAGCTCAATATGACCCAGCAACGTGCACGTGCAGCCCAGAAAGCCAACCGTGTCCTGGGCTGCATCAAAAGCAGTGTGGCCAGCAGGTCAAGGGAGAGGATTCTGTCCCTCTGCTCTGGTCTTGTGAGACCCCACATGGAGTGCTGCATCCAGCTCTGGGGACCACAGCATAAAAGACATGGAGCTGTTGGAGCTGGTCTAGAGGAGGACCACAAAGACGATCAGAGGGGTGGAGCATCTCTCCTAAGAAAACAGGCTGATAGAGTTGGGGCTGTCCAGCCTGTAGAAAAGAATGTTCTGGGGAGACTTTATTGCAGCCTCTCAGTACCTAAAAGGGGCCCACAAGAGAGCTGGAAAGGGACTTTTTAAAAGGACAAGGGGGAATGGCTTTAAATGGAAAGAAGATAGGTTTAGACTGTATATTAGGCAGAAATTCCTTACTGTGAGGGTGATGAGGTACTGGAACAGGTTGTCTGGAGAAGCTGCGGCTGCCCCATCCCTGGACATGTTTAAGGCCAATTTGGATGGAGCTCTGAGTAACCAGGTCTCGTGGAATGTGTCCCTGCCCATTGCAGGGGGATTGGAACTAGATGATCTTTAAGACCCTTCCAACCCAAGCCATTCTATGATTCTATGAAATAACTCCACAACAGAGATCAAGGCATGCCAGAAGGTGTTTCATAAGCTCACATACTTGGTGCAATCTCCATTCTCTGTATTATTCAGATTTCTTTCACGTATTAACTAAAAACGAGTACTTACTCTGCCTACTGTGCTTTCTTTTCATCCTTTAAATAATCTTGAAGATAGGATTTTTCTTCTAAATCCCTTTGAATTACACAATTACTGTAAGTGCTGTTGCTATCAGGTATGAACTACATTTTTAGACAAGTCTATGATTTTTAAATTGTTAATGAATATGGAGCTGTTTGAGTCATGATCCTTGGCAAAGTGAAAAGAGGACATGTTTTTAACACTTGATTTCTAAGCAGTAACTGTTTTGCCTGTTCAAGGTGAGAAACTGGAACCTCGAGAGCTGAAGCCAAGGGCAGGAATCTGAGAATTTTGATCTTGGCTCCTGTTTCGACCACTACTGCACATTTGTTCCTGTTGGCTTTACAGATTTATACTGCGGGTGAGGAAGGAATTTAAGTAAGTGCCAAATTGCTAAGACCAGGAGTGGCACCGCTGATTTACAGTATAAAACCAGTGCAATTAACTGCATAAGGGGATAAAATCGAATGTGCTTATCTTGGTGTATACACCAAGATGACTTGACCAGAAAAGGAACATCAGCATGTAATAATACTACAGTCCTGTCAGTGTGGGTAGAGCTTTGCTGACAAAGCTGTGCTTCATGCAGATGAATTAACAACCTTCCCACAAACAAAAACAAGCTCCACCAGCAAGCAGAGTTTAGCCAGACCAACCTGAACAGCAATCAGGACTTTGCTGCCATAAGAGGTCAGTCAGGAGCCTTGACTTTTCACATCCCCGACCTATATAGCTGATGTCAACGATACAGATGTAGCCTAAATGTGTTGCAGAGTTGTTCTCAGCTCTGGTTGTGTTTTCTCTGGGCACAGTATGCTGGATGAGCAAGTGTTGGTCCTCTGGCTAAGTTGATAGAACTGTGGATGAAAACTCTAGCTCTCCTATGGAGAGCCTTGTGTGTGCTTGATTTCTTGTGTGACAATGAGCAAGTTATTTAGTTTCCATATGCCCCACTGTCCTTTCTGTAAAATGGAGACAATGGCACTTGCAATATAATATGAAGTGTTTGTGAAAATAAACATACTAGAGACAAATCTTCAAGAAAGTCAGTGCATTACCCACTGCTATAGAGATAATTTATGGATGTGAAGCCCTTTGAAAAGACCAATATACTTGTGAAGATACTTGATCTGTAATTTGTGTAAGTGGAATTATTCTCTAAGTTAAATAACTCAAAGCCAGTACCTCTCAGCAGACCATATGAACTGTGAAATAAACATCTCCAGGATTCCCATCAACACACAGTGGACTCATCAGCAGAACTAATGCTAGAAGATTACTGTTAAGTCAAGTTGAAAATGTTTGTTTTCAAATAATTTAGGTCAGTTGAATATCTATATTTGGTTGGGGGCAAGGGGGAGATGAGGGAAAGGTCTCAATGACCAGCTCAGATAATATACTTATGAAGCTATCTCTGGAATTCTTAGGTTGGTACCTATGACACTATCAAATTCATTGGAAAGAGTTTATCGCAAAGTTAAATGTCAGCAGCTGCAAGCCTTTAAATGGAACATACTTCAGCTCCTGGGCAATGGCAGCGATCTGTTCCACCCTGTCCTGGTGAGCAGCCAAATCGCTCTCAAAAGCTTCATGTTTCCTTAACATGGCACGGACTTCTGTCAGAGAAGCAGATTCATAATCCTTCTGAAGTAAGGTCTGCTCTTTGCCTGAAAGAGGAAATTAAAATGTTACTCATTTTTTACTAATTTATTTGTTAGAAAAATTGCAAATTTAATCAACTTTTTAAACTCAGGCGTGGTGAAAAATCATGAGATGAAATCCCAACACCACTGAAATTCAGCAGCAAATTATCAGCCCAACAATGTTAATTAGAAACATATAGCTTTAAAGATCTCACAGTATTTTCTTGATTTTTTTCATAGGCTGTTTATACTGGTCTAAAGTGGTGAGTATTACCTGGAGAAACTGGCATAAAAATGGTATATTAGCAAAAACTGGATCTCTAAACCATTGTGATAAGTCTTTTGTAGAATAGACTTAAGAATAGACGTACGAAATCAGAAATCTCACTGCTATGCTCAGCTTCACTCTTACTAACGATATGTTATTCTTTTTTATGTTCTGCCTTCGTTATTCATTTCAGCACGTAAAAAAAAACAAAACCAAAAACACCCTGAGATATGCGACTGCCTTTTGTATCCAACACTGAATTTGAAGTGGAAAATGCCAACCTATTTACAAAAGGCTAGAGAAGCAAAGAGTAAGTAGAAACTGAAATACTACTCCTGAGTAGCTCCTGTGTTGGACAACTGAATCCACACAGACAGGCCCTACAGCTGCAGCTCACTACATGGCATTACACAGCTCCATGAATTCTAGAGCCAGACACAACTATTGTTTCACTTGCTATGTACCAGCTTAAGTGAAGTTTTCCCTGCACAGCAGCTATAACTTGTCGCCATGAGTAGTTTATGCTCAGAAAATAGGCTCTCAGGGTTAACAAACACCGTAGTTTCCCTTCTAGTATCTGCTTGGCAGCCATTTCCAGCCTTGTGCGCTTCCAGCAACTGTGTTACAGGATGGACTCTGGTTTATTCTCACAGTGTGAAAAGAATCTAGCTGGAAAAAGCATGGCAGAAGCAGGAAGACAGTTGTCAGGGCAAACAGTAGGATGATTGAGCAGATCCATGTTTAATAGTCCCCAACAAAACTAAATGCCACTGTCTGGTCCTATAGCTGTTACAACCACACGTAAGGTTAGGTTACCATTAAAAACCAGAAATATAAATGGGGTGTAATCTAGGGTTTGAAACAAAGCAGAAATGAGTCCATTATCATGTAGTTTATGTGGACTATTCAAAACATCATGATGACCAAATAAGAATCAACTCGGAATACCTATGTTAATAATTTCACACTTAACAAGTGCTGTCACTGCATTTCTGGTTGGATTGCTGTGTACAAATTCATAGGAATACATGAGCAGTGATGGTAATATTCAAATGCTGAATATTCCTATTAAGTCTGAATCACTACCTCAAGTATGATTTTTACAGTCACATTTCGTTAGCAACAGGCCAACAACTTAAGATCATGACTACAGTCAACAAAACCGGACATCTTATCTGTTATTATTTTAGGTTTCTAAAATCGTCCAAATTACTTATGAGTGAGTTCCTGGCTGGCAAATACTCAGCATTGGCAGTTCAACTTTGAACATTAAACCACTAAAAATGTTAAAAAGCCAGCTCTGCTCACCATATGCCCACTGTTCGTGAGTGGAAGCCTTCTGCCTAAATTTCTCAGCCAAGTGTTCAAGTCTTTCCAGTCGTCGTATTTCATTCAGCAGCCACTCTTCATAGCCTTTCTCAGCTTGTTCAAGTCTCTGCCAAGCACCGGCAATATCCTGTGAAGAGAATACATGGAAGAGAGGGGATGAAACTATAATCTCTATCTAAATTTACAGATTTCTGATTCATTCACAATTTGGCTTCCAAAAGAGAAATTTTTATGTCCAGATTTTGTAAACTCATGGAATCACAGAAAATGTTGTTGGGCAGCTCAGGAAGTCTTTTAGTCCAGACACCTGCTTCTAAAAGTGGCTTGTATTCAGTTGGGTTCATGAAAGGAGCCCTTGCACAAATGGCTTCCAAGCACAGCTTGGAAAGTCTTAATGATATATTATTTTTATCTCCCATTTTACAATGTGTGTGTTTTTTTATGACATATCTATCTGTTATCAAAATAAAAGTGCTTTGCTTTCACAATGACAATAGGAAAACAATTAGTATCAAGAAGATTTGGTGCTTATCTTACCAATTTCTGTGATGCACAAAGTTTTGTGAGCTTCCTCAAAGGTGTGAGTAGGAAACTGAAGTAACAGGGCCCTTATTTTCTGCATAGGGGGGGTGGACAATGGCCTTTTTCAGATAGTGCAATCATTTGTTTATGAACAACCAAAACACAATGATAGAACAGAGTACAGAAACAGGTTTGCTATATTCCACTGGAAATGTTTTGGCCCACAGTCAAATTACAGCATTTATCAGCAGATGAAGATTCTTGGTACTGACTATTCTTATCTTCACAGACATAAGAAAAGAAGACAATAGAATTTTTAAAAGTAGAAAAAAGCAGAAACATATATTGAGCAATGTCGGTTTCTGTAAGTGTGGTGACTAAAATGTCAGTGAAACCACTGTTAGTTTTGCTTACATAAACAATATTTGTCCTCACTGACAGAGAAGTATTGATAACATTCCCATCTTGCATCTCAAGACAATTTGTTCTTGGGAAAGCCTTCAAAGAGGCAGAGCATGCTTAATAGAAAGGAAGATTCTAGAATGAAAGGAAGTATGTAAAAAGGGTGGTTTGGTATTGCAAAAGTGCAACAGACTGATGTTTCTGAACATCAAACCTTCACGCTGACATTTTTGGGGGATCAGTGATAAAGTGAACAGAATATTGATGCCTCTTTTACTTACTGAAACCATCTTCCCCTCCGATGGCATGAAAGCTGGACGATTGCTGATTCTCAGTTTTGTCTGCAGGGTGTTGAAATTGATCTCCAGTTGACATTTCTCTTGGACTTTGGGAGGTTTGTGTTTGCGGCGGTAGTCCCGGAAATCCTCTAATTTCTTCTGCATAGCCTGCATTGTTTTTTCTGGAGTCCTGTTTTCCAGCCAAGGAATTGTCCGGCGAATCCATTCTAAAAGCTTTCAAATCAACACAAACAACTCATACAAAGGCAATGGAAAAGCAACCAAAGAAAGATTATATTGAACACACAAATCTTAATTACTTTGTTCCATTTTAACATTATTGACTTCAGTTGGAATCGATGCCTTAATGGTGAGTAACCACAAGATTTTCAAAGCTGAACAATACTTTTCTAACTAACTTGCCCAGATAGTCTATGTATTTCTAGAAATACCTCAATTTTCAGAAAGATGAACACACATGTAACATGTCTCCAGCTAATTACTCAAAATCTGAATTACCCAAAATCACTTGTCACTTTCAAAAGTGATGGGATCAGGACAGAAACCAGCCAAGTAACTCAGGTCAAATAAAAATCTTGACTCAGATGTCCTTTAGTGCCAATGTAGACACAGACAGTAGTGCTGTGATCTCAGTATGTTTTTGCAGTTTATGCATAAAAGACAAGAGAGCTCTCACTTGTTCACTATATATCTGTAGTTCTGACTCAGATTTGCCATTTCCCAAGAAAGGACAAGAGGAGCACAGTGTGCCTCCTTCTTCATTCATCTGCTGTCTGTGCTCATGGGTGAATTGTGAACACCCTGACAGACCTCCCCAGGTGTGCTTTGCAGTACACAAAGCCAATGGGCTTGGTTGGAGTGACAGTATCTATTATGTTCCACATGTGGCCAAGGATGGCTATCTTTGAAGATTACAGAGACAAGAAGCTTGGTCTTGAGGCAGACAGATGACAGTCCTCAAAACACCTTTTGGGCATGTTAACAAGACTGACTGACTTGCTGGAGGTCACACAGGAAGTCTGTGGCAAAGGAGTCACCTAAACCTTGACATCTTGGGCAGCTGGGCTTTGTACCCTGCCACTGTGAGATTTACACTCATGGTGTCTCCACTCTTCAGAGTGTGCATGAATCTTTCAGCTTTCTGTAATTCATTGTCACCACATCACAGATACAGCATTTTTACCTCACTTGCTAGTCTCTCATACTCTTCCATCAACCTCTCATTTTCCTGATTCACAGCAAGCACCTTACAGATCCGGTTAGCTGCAGTCTCAGCCTGTAAAACACAGCAAATAAACAGGACACAGTCATAAACACATTCTGAGAAAGGTATAGGCTTGGAGAGAGTACGTGGCTGCTGCAAATGAAAAAATGACATTCTTTTATACTTGTTGATTCATGCTCCTAGGTTACTTAGATATTCATTTCCCCTCCTTCTGCAGTCATAGATTTCAGTGGCCTGAATAAGGCACAGGTCAGCACAGAAGTCCATCCCCTTGTTGTACAACGAAGCCTTATTGCACAAGGGGGAATTTTGCACTGTCATTATAGTTGTCTAATAAATCTTTTCTTTTCAAAGACAACTTAGGCCATTCTTAGAGCTATCTTATTAGGTTATTTTTTTTAAAATCACACCAAAAAGTATTACATTTTTTAGCCACACTGGAAAGATACCACATGGGATTCAGGAGTCTCAGACCACTCTATATATGCACATCATATGTAGATATTCCCCCTGGTGGCCTAGTGGTTAGCATGCGGGACTCTCACTGCTGCAACCCAGGTTCGAATCCCAGTCCCCCGGGCAGATGGAGCTCGTTAGCCCTGTGAGGCCATCCATCTATGAGAAGGTCACTCTAAACAAACCTACGTCCTGAGGACCTCACTGCCATTGTCCAAGCTTGCTTGGCCCCGGCAGATGAACCTTAGGATTAAAGGGTGGGCTCAGTTCAGCACATGCTGTGTCTCACCTAAAAAATCCATTGCGCAGGCTGGAAAGGTAAAAGACCTTTCCCAAAATCTTCATTCGCGAAGACTGGCCATTAAATGCAGCTCAACCACCAACAGCAAATCTTTTCATGCCTCATGACAAACTTATATGTGAAGGCACGGTGCAGTTCTGCCATATTTAAAATTTACATTAGTAGTTTGAGGTCACAGAGCTATACTTTCATACAAATGTGACCCTGGAGTACATTTAAGCAAACAAATATCTGTGTAGACTCCTGTATTACAGAGTATTTGGAATTCCCCTTTTGCTTGAATAGCAAAACCTTCATAACGAGAAGCAAGAGGGTGCAACAGTAGAGCTGTGCTGTGGTAAGGTGTAGGTGACCTACCAGACAGGAAAGGAAATTAAATCCTGAGGATGTAGGAAAAATATCAACTACTTTTTTAAGGGTTCTTTTTTTCTTTTCACATTAAGTTGGGTTATGTCCTTTTGTAGAGTATGAAGCAGAACAGTGGGAAATGCCACATTTATAAGTGAGAATCCCATCCTGTATGACAGGTCTGCTGCTGATGTTCATGCCTTTTATACAGTACTTTGATCCACAAATAATTCTGTTGGCTTCTGTGGGAACCAGACACAAATACTGTGTTGGATGTCTTCTGTGCCTTTCTGCACCTTTAGGCATCTTTGAAAATCTAGCCCTAAATTACTACTCAGCATGAGTAAGTCTAGAATAGTCTCAGTCTCCAAATATCAAACATTCCTTTATGCAGCAAACACGTAAGATGTTGTTGTAGCAACAAGCAACAACTCCATTTTACAGTATCTTCAAATACAGTTTTTCTGAAGTAGTTTTATAATCACCAAATAAAGACTCAAAATTGGAAACAGGAATGTCCATTGGAATTGAAGAAGTTAACTTGTTACACAACATTTAACTAAAACAGGTTAGAGAGCTGGTTAAAATCAAGTATTAGTGCTCAAGTAATACTTGCAATTGTTAATTAAAACCACATAGTACTAAATTAGTATTTTTTTTAATAAACAAGTGGAAATGTGAAACAAACCAATCAAAAACACAGCAACCTGAAGGGACAATTGATTAATACCTGCTCTGCTCCAGCAAAAGCATGGTAGAAGCAGGACACATATGTCATGATAGCTCTCTCATCAGGTTTGGGAGTGTTCACAATATCTACAAGATGGGGGAGAAATTGAAACAAAGCAAAAAGAGAATCGAGGAGCAGAAAACAAGATGAATAAATAAATGTACAACTATGTCATTCTGACTGTTTTCTTGTCCATAGCTCTGAATTCTAGAAACTCCATGAAGCTGTAATAAATTTAGTGTTAGATTGACAGGTGCTGACAGAATAAAGTGTACACTAAAAATTCAATGTAAGCTCTTACGAAGAGGAGGATTTTTTTTTAATTAAGCTTGATCCTGCAGTATTGTCAGAGGGGGAGCGACCACAATTTTACCAGGACTGTCTGCTTATGGCTGATATGCATATGTCTAGTGACTTAGAATGTGGGGGTTTTTTGACTTAGACACAGGAAAGACAGACTACATTTTGATCTGAGGAGACGTTCTCTGGAAGTTGCATGTGGATTAGTTATAACTTCAGCACTATATATCAGTATTCTTTATACTGCCAATACCTGACATATGCCCAACTCTGAAGTGCCTTGCTTTTTAAAATTTTCCTTCTTTTCTTTAGGACACAATTCCAGAGCTCGTCTGAGATGTCTGTGTATATTTCTGTGTCTGTTTTGCATAGTAGCATCATTTTATATTGCTGTTTGTACTTACCATTAAGCATTTAACATTTTAAAAACAATCCTGAAAGCATAAGAGAAGGGTTTATTTTCTGAGCATCTGTTATGATGATTTGGACATCTATAGCAGAAATAATATCCAGCAGAGAGAAGGATGGCATTCTGCTATTGAAATTGTTTTTTCACTATGAGCTTATTTTCATTTTGCATTTTTAATGGTGCTTCAAATGAATGCACACTAGTTCATTTAAAGAGGATATCGTCCTCTATCCCATTCAGTAACCAGCTGTCAAAAACCTACTGGATATTATTAGTAAATATACAGAAAGATGAGACAAGAAGGTTTGTTTCTATGGAACAAATGGATAGACTACTACTGGCTCTACTAAGACAGTGGCTCACAGTGAAAATCAGGCAACAGGATACGAGCTCAGCTCTAGGATGCTGTTCTAGTAACTAGCAAGGAAAAGACTAGAAAAGGAAAAATTGCTGAAAGAAACAAGACAGAAGGTGAAGGATGAGATCTGATCCATCTACAATCTCACCTTCTGAGCACCAGCAAATGCATGGTAGTAACAGGAAACATAAGTCATAATGGTTCTTTCATCAGGTCTGGCAGTGTTTACTACATCTGTGTAGAGAGAAGAGGGTTAACTGCTCAGAAATTCTCACAAGGTACTTTCATCTGATTATGCTAATGGTGCCACCTCAGTGCTGTAAGGATTCTAAATAAATACATCATTATTCAGGTTGCATCTGTTTACTGTTATCAGTGCAAAGCCACTTAAGCTTTAGGAATCAGTAAATGCAAAAGATACAATTCTCTCTGAAATGGCAAAACATCTGAAGGCTGAGACTGTACAGAAGGGTATTGCTACCTTCTGGTTTGTGGAAACTTCCAAGCAGATGGCATGGCTGGCAGATCTACTGGGTTCAGCTTCACTGCCACTCCAAAGCAACTTCATCTAAATCACTAGAATTATTCCAGAGTTAAACACAGCCACTGACAGTCACAAAACAGAAATGCATACAGTGTGTATCAGCACAGGGACCCTGTAGCTGATGAGGTACTGAAATATATTGGAAACCCATAGAAGTCCTGCAGTCCAGAAATACATTTTGTGCTAAGAAAAGCTTGGATAGTAACAGTTTTGTAATCCCTATGCCAGCCCATCTTTTCAGTTAATACCATAAATCACAGGAGAGTTTGGCTTGGCTGGCTGATATCTCTGCTCCCATCATGGCAGGAAAGAATGAAAATATACAGTGGGTGCAATCAAGGTAATTTTTCATCATGGCTAGGCTTCGCAAACGAAGATTTGGGAAGGGCTCTACCCACGTTTCTTGCAAGCGCGTTGGTGGCTAAAAAGGCCAATACGAGAAAGGCATGTCCGGTTGCAAAAGGCACAGCAGAAAGACTCCTTAGGTGGTATATTCCGCAAGGCACGATTCTTTCTGCGTTGTCTTTTCTCCTCAAGGATGATCCTGCGTGCTTTCTCAAAGGCATCAGCAGCGTTATAGATGGTGTGTCTCCAGGCCTCCCGATTGGAGGCCAGAGTAGAGCAGTTATGGTGGTCAATATGGCCGAGGCTGAGATGTTGTAATTTTTACATGGGTAAAAATTGACCTTTTCAATGAGTAACAGAGAAAGGCAGAAAAAGGCAGGTTTACACCAATTATGGCTGAGTAATGAATGATTCTAGTGCAAGCTGCAAGGATTCCTGTCAATGTAAAGAGTGGGAAGATACTGACATGAAAAGACCCAGGAATGAGGTGACGATTTCTAATATTAACAGTGAGATTTCCAAGTTCAGGACCAATGTATTTACTGATTTTACATCTACTTTACATAGCTGTGAACAAAACTTTGCAAAGTTTCCACTGATAATGAAGTGGCAGTAAAGAGAACAAAAAGCGACCATGAATACTTAGAGGGTATTAGAAGAAATATAATTTAATTTCCTCTGCCCCTTCCAAGAGGCAAATAGTAAGATAAGGGCTAGAATGTGCAGAAAATCTGGTGAGGAAAATAAAGGGTTTCTTATATAGACTGTGAAGAGGGGAAAAAAATGAAGAAAGGAGAATGACAGTGGGAGCTGCTCAATGGTAAGAAGGCAGCACTTCTGTGTTTATTCCTTGCACAGTATTTCAGAGAAAAATAATTAATGGTGCTTGAAAGGGGAATTGCAATTCAAAATATGGAAACAATTTGTTTTGAAGCATGAAAGTGAAACCACTCTTCAATGAAGAGATTACAACCCCAATTTTCCAAATCATCCTGCCTAACTTTCCTACCGAAGACTTCAAGAGGAACAGACATAGCCAGTTTGAGTGCTCTGGATAATTCCTGTGTTATCAGTGCTCTACTGACAAGCCAGCAGAGCAGAGTCTCCATTCTTGGAGATGAATGCTTTGAACTACTGTAGGCAAATTCTAGTATTTTGGCAGCATTTTTTGCCCAGAGTACAAAAGTTTGGTTATCTTGAAGAAATTTAGGAAACTCTAAAAATTATTGGAAATACACAAACTATTTGTTAAAACTATCACTGCAAAAAGTTTACAACAAAAGTAAACCAAAAAAATGCTTCCCTCAACCTACCTCTCTTTGTAGTATGTGTTTCAGATATTCTGAAAGTTTTGTACTTCTATTTGTATTTCTGGTCCTCTCAGTTAAACATTTTAAAAAGTGAATATGCTTTGAGCTAACAGTTATATTTACCTTTATTAAACTTAGATTTTAATTACTTAAAGGCAAGAATTAACTTTGATCCTGCAATTTACCTCAATTATCACAGTGGGGCCATGTGCTGACGTTAGGATTCAAAGTAGTATAATAAATGCAAACAATAACAATCAATCAGTAACAAAGAAAAAAGTGAGGGAAATTATCCAATGCATGGGGAAAAAGAAGGAAAATATTGACTGAAAACAAAGCAGATTGCTACATTATGATTCATGTAGAAGAAATGTTGAAAATTTGCTAGATTAAAAAAAAAAAAATTCACTGTGTCCTGCTTATAAGCAACACAAACTTAAGTAAGATAAAACTCTCACCTTCTGCATCCAGCATCTTTGGAATATCCAAATGCTTTTCAGCAATTTCCATGGCAAGGTTGATATTTCCTATGGGGTCATCCTGCATTAAAGAAAAAAGTTTGAGTCAAAGATAGAAGTTTTTCTTTCAAGCAAAACTACAGTAGGTGCGCTAAAACATATTCTGGTTTTCCAAACTGTAAATTGGATTCACAACTTCAAAAAGCAGAGTCTAGGTATATGAACTATTGGTTTATCTGCTGCTATACTTCTCAAAGAAAACTTTAATAGGCTATTATCTACCACTAGGACTCTGCTGCAAATATATTCTGGAGAGAAACATAGATAATGTATGCAGTGTACACTCATAATTCTCAGCTAATTCTGAATTAAGTACAGCAGCAATACATACAGTAAAGGCCACTGGTCCAGCAGGCTAAACTACATCATTCAAAAAAAAGTTAGTCCTGCCTATTTTATACCCAACTCTACAGTATATTACAGGGATATGACTTCTGAGTTCTCTGTTGGTCAGGTGAATGCATGAGAAGAAGCAAGCACAGACAGAACAGTTCTCCAGAAGCAACAAAACTTGCTAGTTTGGGCTTGGACATAAAAATCTGTAATGCTCTATAAACTGAATTTTAGAGCCATGGAAATTTAAGCACTTCGTCTGATTTTGAGACTTTGGTTTTTGAAGGAAAGAAAAAAGCAAGCAGCAAGCACAGTTCAGACAGACAGCAGACATTTCATGTCTTACACTACAGACAGCTGTTGCTGACAATGCAAGAGTGTGTCAGATTGGGCCTACCACTAAGGGAGCCTTCCCATATCAGCTTGGAGGGAAAACACCCTATGAGAAATGGCAGTTCATGCCATAAATGCTATTATTATTTTCACATATTTGCAAACTCGTGAAGTATTATAAACAGTCTGAACAATGCCCATGTCTACAGAGAGAGGCTGGGAAAATAGCACACAGAAAAGCAAAGTAAAAAATACAGTAAATCTAAGTGAGACCTATTGACTAGGTTAAAACACTTAGCTTATGAATGAGTGATGAGCACCTCGTATTTGTGTGCTTGGTACTAAGCCCATCAGTAAATAGTGCTACACTGCTAAAGCATTTCTTTAAAACCACAGCAGCTTCTGAACAATTGGAGATCTCCATCACCCATCCTTTTTAAAAAAACTACAAGCCACAGTAACTAGAAATCTCTGCTACAGCTAAAGAAATACCTCATCTAACTTGTCATAGTCAAGAAGATCAGGTCTGTGTCTATGGATAAGGGCGTTGAAAGCAAGGCCATCTTTCCAGCTACAAGTTCACACAAAAAGCATTGGTGTGAAAAGGAAAGGACAGCATGCAGGAGATAAGAAATCAAGAAACAAGACACCAAGACAGCTGTTAATGTAACCAAAATGAGCAGTCAATCAAACACAGCCAGGTCAGGAAAGCAAGATCTATTTTAGGATTTTTTCTGCATGTGCTTTACGTGCCACAGCTCAGCCTCAATTTGAAACCTGACCTGTTCTTATTTTAGAAATCTCTAAGAGAGAAATAGTAATGTTGAAGCAGACCTGCTTGTGTTCTGTTCCCTTTTCTCAGCACTTGTCTACAGGATCATTATACTGTGAAGTTCTTTAGGACTGTGTACCACTTTTCAAAGCACAAATTCAATCAAACTAACTTCTGTTTGTGCCATGCATAATAAGCACAGAGACAGGTAGCTTAGTCATTCCATTAATCTGTTTATTTGTAGGAAAGGTTGTATATAGAATTAGAGAACAAGCTGGTATTGATGGCTAATATTTTGCCCTTTGGTTCAGATCTGCAGTTATCCTAACAGCTACCTAAATTAAAATCTAATGTGTTCAGTACTAAGTTCATTTAATTTTCATCACTGCACACCTTGGGGACTCTGGCATAAATTGAACATATATATAAAGCAAACTAAGTTTTAAAATAATTTCACTTTATTCATTTATCTTTTGCTTCATCAAAGACTTTCTAATAACAGTTGATTCCACTAGTAAAATCAATTTGTAATGACATAGAATGGAAAATACAGTTGATGTTTTACCAGTCTCATCAATGCGAAGTTGCACTCAAGAGATTAAAAGCAATGATTAAGTTTTCTGTTGTACTGGTGTTTACATGAGACCTCAAGATGCATTCATTCCAGAGAGTAGAAAATGGTATGTATATATTGAAACCTAATGTAAAACAACAACATTCCACTTTCTTTTTATGTTTTATTCTTCACAAATGATGATTCCAAAGAAGAAGAAATTCTGATATTATTGTTTGTTCCTCATTCCTGCCTCTCAAATGAAAGTGGTTGGTATCTTTTAGAAAATACGCACTTTGCCATGAGTAGCACGCTGTAATAAAATAGTTTTGCAATCCCCATGAGGTACTACCTAAGGAATTTAGGATATCAGTTTTGTTTCCACTTGTCTGGAACTATAGGTAGAAGTTAATCTGAGAATTGGTGAATATTTTCTATGTAAGACTAATAACTCAGCATGTACTCCTAATTACTGAGGGTAGTGTTTGTTCCAAGGAATTTAATCATCATGTCATTGTTAACTGCTCTGTAATCTACAGTAATTTACACTAGATACTAAACAGGATAGGCTGTACAATACTATCAGTGGTAAATGGACAATTCCATGCGTTTTATTTAACATCTGTATTGGGCACTGTAAAGGACTTCATCAACTGCCCAACAGCTGAGGACAAGATTATTTGCAATTAGATGCTGAAGTTGTTGTAATGGGAAGGAAAGAAGGACAAGGTCCTCTCCCCCATGTCAGTGGGGTTTTTTTGGAAGGACCTTAGAAAGTCAGTCAGAATTAGTATGCATTCATCAGCCTGTCTTCTAGAAAACATGCCAAGCAAACCAGAAGCAAGCCAAATCACTGCAGGACAGCATGCTGTACCACCCAGACTGATGACCTTATTTAGCTTGGAGTAGTCAATAAGATCAGGTCGGTGTCTGTGGATAAGTGCACATAATCCAAGGCCATCTTTCCAGCTTTACAACAAAAAAATAAAATGGAAAAAAATAAAAAATTAGTTAATAAAGTCATGGCATTTTACAGTTTGATCCTTGCTCAAGGCTTAAAATCAAGCAGGAGTTCTCCTGTCTAATCCTGACACTTATGTTCTGTCAAGTCTCATCCCTCTGAGCTGTTCTGTTACTGTGCTCCTTTTATTGTAATACATACCTTACTCTACAGTCCATATACACTAAGAACTCCATATACTTTCTAAGGCAGTGTACATTTTGTGCAACTGTACCTGATTTCAATTGCTTAATTCATGCAGTGTTCTAGGATAGCTCAAGTACATGTTCATCAATGAAAGAACATGATCTCCCATTACACTTAGAGCATATTTGTGAAAAAATAAAAAGAAGAGCAAACCTGCAATTACTTGAATTTGCTGAAGCAATAGGCTTTTTCTGTGTCAGTTATTTCAGAGAATTTTAGTGGCACAACCATGTGCTTCGAGAAGTAAGAAATCATAAATCAGCTCAGTTTATTTAAAACACTTCTCACTTATCACAGCTTTGATCTGAGTTCTTACACTTCATCATTACTTCAGACTTGCTACCTTTTGAGGCAAGAACAGACAATGAATGGAGATACAAATAATATTTATTAGGAAAGATTATGAGAGGTTTCTTTCAGCCATAAGCAATTACTCTGAAAGATATTTTATGTAAACACTTTAAGCAATCACAGGGTCTGTAATTTGAGGTCTTGTCCTTGTGTGAGCATGTTAAGGCTGTTAAAATCCCTGTCACTGAGATGTCTGGGTAGGTCCTTCAAATAACAGAACCATCTCCAATAAAAATGTAATACAATAAGCAGAATATACCTATATTGTATAATATGACATCATCCAGAAGGTAAAACTTAATCAAACTGAAAACCAAACTAACAAATTTTTCTTTTTCCAAAAGGTGTAAACTAAAATGATCTGGACAGCCTGCTGTAAGGTAGTCCTGTAAGAGCTGATCCACCCAAGCATTAATCAAGGTACTTCCATTCAGTGTGTTTTCCCCATATCATGTATCAGACCAGAATAGGTACATATACAGAACAAGATTCTGGTACTGTAACTTACAGTATACCCTGGATCCATATAAAGCTCTATGAAATATACCTTTGTATATTCTGGGAAAGTAACACATAACAAATTTCAGATCTCTGAAAGGCCATATGGGAACTGTAAATGAAATATTTTTTTATCTTGGAATGCATATATGAACTGTATCTTCTCTGTCACTACACGTGTTTTAGGTACTGCACATTAAGAAATAATTAAAAACACCAAAACACTGTTACAGAGTTTTTTTAAGTACTAGAAGGGTTTCAGGGAAGGGAAGATCACATGGTTAAACAGTGCAAATAGCAAGCCATGTAGTTTAATGAAGTAGGTCACTGGGAGAGCTTCAAGAACTAGCCCAAGGAAATCCCCAAACCAGACAGCCTGTGCATGGCCTGGAACTCCCATTCTAACTCTTAATGAAAACACAGAACCACAAGTCTGGAGCTTTACTAAGTTTTACAACTCAGGTCATGATCTTGATTCTGAAAACAAACGTGTTTAAAGTATTGCCGCTGTTGTGTATGATCTAAGTGCATTTTTTGCTCTTTGCTTATAGTTACATTACAAAATGATAAAGACTGATTCACCATGAGATATTTGCATGCTCAACACACTGGTATTTTTTCCAGAACAGTCTCTCTGTGGCTCTCTGCAGTGGCTCTCAATTGAAAGCAGTCATTTGCCACTATGATGTAGTACTCAAGAATTCCCACATACCAAGGACTTCTAATAACGTAGTATGGTAATTCGGTATGTAGGAGGATTTTTTTCTTTTAAATAGTAACTATGGAAGTCATAGCTGATAATGCCAAAGGGTAACCAAAATAAGACTCTGAAGATAGAGCGCCAGAATCTGAAAAAAGTCTAGCTGACAGTGAAGAGCCAAATTCTCCTATCAAATATATACCTACACAACTGTGGGAAAAATTTCACATAAAATTTTTTAGATCGTGTCAACGTCTTGAAATAATGAAAGTTTACCTAAGATGGAAGTTTTGAATGTTCACATTTCTGTAAGGAGCAGTTTTCCTTTGACACCACAGCAGCAGCCCTTCTTTAGCAGAGGTCTCTGTAAAAGACACAAGGGAGTAAAAAAGAGGAAAGATGTGAAAAGTGCCCAGATAATTAATTTCTAATGGTCAGCCACCATAAACTGGCATAAACCAACATTTAATCCTAAAAGATACTCATATAAATGGACAACTGGGGCTCCATTAGAACATGGAGTTCAGTTAAGACTAGAGTGAGCCTGCACAAAAGTTCCGGGATGTTAGAAATTTAAGGAATTATATTGGTTGGACAGCAGACTGTATATTTGGAGAAAAATACCCAATACAAATATGATACAACTAGACATAAAGGACTGTTGGTGCCTACATGAAATATGATTGTAGTTTCAGTTCAGGACTAAAAAAGTATGTTGGAAATTGGACCAAACACAAAGGATACAGCAATTAGTTTCAGGACACTGAAGCTCAGAAACATAGTCATGTTTCTGTCTCTTCAACTGAGAGACATGACCAGAACTTCTGCATTTAGAAAGCTGGCTCAAAGTCTCTGTCAGGATAAGGAGAGTAATTACTTTTTCCCTCCAGAAATTAATTTTGTCACCAGGTAGCAAACTTGCAGTATCATCATCTGTGAAAAAATTTACTTTTAAAACACTCTTCTGCCTTCTGCACAATTCATATAAAATTTGTTTTTAAACAAATTTCCTAATTATTTAACATAATTGCATTACTATTACCTTCCACTGAAATATCTTGAATAGCAAAGCGAAGGATGATAGTCCAGATCATACCCAGCGTCATTTTCACATTGCCATCCACAATTTCTAAGGTGAAAAAAAGATATTGTAGTAGTATTTAGAATGGTTTTTTTCCAATTTTATCTTATTTTAATCATAGATTTCTACAAGTTATACACTGCGTCTAATAAATTATTTATATTTCTACCATAATTTTTTATTCACATGGAGTTCACCTGGATTCATTTTTCAACAAACTACTGGTTGTGCTACTCTGAACTGAAGACTATTGAGGTTAAGACTACTTCACCCCTTCCATGCTAAAAGCCTTCTCCCCAGGTAGTTGTAACTGTTTCAAATCTTTACCTTTTAGGGTGACTTTTTAGAGAGAGCATGAGGGGAAATACTGAAAGTTCGAACAAGATCAGCCTTACTGTTTTCAAATACAAAGGAACTGAAAAAATATGATCTTACCCCAAATTTTAAGAAACTACAGGACACTAACAGTACTCAGAAATTCCCCTATACTATTTAGATATGTGTAAGAATTTACCTATAGTGCCAGCACAGACTAGATATGAAGAACAGCTCTTGAGACACAACACCTCCTGAGACAAAGCTACACAGCTTCCTGCCGAGCCATTCATTAACATGGCCATGAGGTTGTAATGTCTTACAGCTCTAATGCGTATACACATTTACATGTCTTTAATATAAATGAGGGTTTTTTTACCTCTGCGGTTTCAATTTGTTTCAAGACTGCTTGAGATTACCTGTAAAGCCAGGTCAGAATCCAGTGCTCCTACATTGTAATTAAGTGATACCACTTAAATTTCTCAGCACCAAAAAATGTACTGCCAGACCACTTAAATGTGTTGGTAATGTTAAATCAATTTGAAAAGCAAGTCAGGAGACTCAGAAAAACATAGTGAGACTATAATGAAGGTCCACCACTGGAAAGGGAGGAGGTGGGACAGTGAGAGATGGGAACTACAGACTAGCTTTCTAGTCACCTCATACCAAAGGAGCAGTGGAGCGGGGAAGGCACCAGCTGCTCCCCTACTTGAAAGTCACCTCCAGCCTTTCCCAAAAAGTGGAGCAGCTGTGGCTGCCTGGGGGCCCACTGGTGTTCTGGGGGAGGAGCAGGAGGAGCTTGCATCAGGAGGAATTTCCTCAATTTAACATCAAATGCCAATAGAGGTGCCAGCAGAAAATGCAGTCACTCTGCTACTTAAAAGTTGCCTGAATCCAGGGGCAACTTTTACAGAACAAAGCAGCTGCTGTCTCCGAGACTTGAGATATATGTTGAATTGCAGTAGGACGTGGCACAAGCTGTCATTTGAACCTATGGAATTAACAAATGTGATAGGAAATATGTCACCCATCACTAGTCTATACTTAGTAAGTGTGATAATTCAAGTTTATATATGAATGGCTATTTTTCTGCTTTCCCTTTTGGATCGTGCACTAATTTTCCAGAATTCTCACCTCATTCTGCCTGCCTTCCATGTATCCTACCTTATTGGCCCTAAAAGACCTCAAGTCATTTCACATCTCAAAACTAAACCCTTTCAGACAAAAAAGACCAAATGGCCATTAGAGCATGTAGCTCTTTCTTCCCTCCTCCTTGGTCAAGTACTTCATTGTATTTTAATGTCTGATAAGTATTTACAGAAAAGACAAATTTCTTCAAATTTAAAATAAATTAATTTAAATACTCAGGAGGCATTGATGATTGTCAGGCAATCAACTCATGGATTTACATAATCACTACATCTTTTTTTGATTTACATATCCATATTTACACACAGACTGAATGAAAGAGCAAGAGAGGGAATTTTCTATGTTGTGCCTCGGGAGAATTTTCAAGTGATTTGTCAGCTTTGGCTTCTCATTATCTGCTGCAGGCATAGAATAACAAAAAAGACTCATATAAAAGACAATGAAGAAAAACAAAATGGCTAAAATGTTGAAAAGTATCAATGACAAAAAAAATACTGATTCATTCCTATCATTTTCCTCTACAGGTCAGTAGAAGACTTCATTAATTTCTTAATACTGCCTGTTTCCTCTGGGAGGAATATAGTTTCTACACCTCACATATGCAAAGCTACAGCTTTCTGGGTTTGAGGGCAGGAAAGGAGAGAAGGGAAAGTGAAGGGAAAACAATAAAAACTGTCTAGGGAAAAAGCTAGGCAAAACAGAGTGGTAAGTTCTCAAAGGTTTTAGTTCCATTTTTTTATTCTACTTTTTCTTTTGTTTTTTTTATTCCAACCTTCTTGCAGCAGATTCATTCAGTCTTTAACATTTTTCCTGCTCTCCAGAAAAACAAAGAGAAATGTTTCCAATTAATAGGATACAGATCTTTTGTGGTTCTCCATATTTACTTGATTTCTTTCAGGATGCGATCACCTTACAAATAGAGTTTCTGCACTTTTATTAAACCTTAAGGGAAAACTTCTAATTCCCAAACTGTGAATGGCTCATAAGGACTACTTTCCACAGTTTTCCTTTAGCTTCTTGACTCTCTAGTCATGACCAGTGGAGAGAAAGACCCATACACAAGACAAATCAGAGTAGCTAAATTTGGCTTCATCTCAGCGTCATAGTTAAAGGTGATCAGCTCTCTCCACTCCACATACAGCCCAAAAAAGTCAGGCTCAGAACAATAATGATGACTTTAAAGAATGTCCCTGGCCCCTTAAAAATACTAAATTGGTCTTTGTATTGATGTCGCACAGGAATCACAGTTTAATCATTGTTTTGAGGCCACATTTTAAATGCCAGTCGTTCCCGTTGGGCCTACAAGCTCCTCACCATTCAGCATATCAGATAACAGAAAATGATCCTTAGCAAATTTAGATACAAAACTTTTATGCTTTGGAAATTAAAAAGTATTCCAAGCATCCATGTAACTCAGAGAATGCCAAAACAGATCGGTGCAGGCCAGCCCACATGCCCTGTGCTCACACACAAGAGGCAGTGAGTTAAGTGGTTATGGCCTTTGATAAAAATACAATCTTAAGGACTCTGTGTTCTGCCTCCTTGCTGGCATTCGCTCCAACCTACTACAATGACAACCCAGTCAACAATGCTGAAAAATGCAACAAAAGAAAAAAAGGATGTGAAGTGTGTTTTAAAACCTGATCAGATTGCTGATCCAGTCTCCAGCAGAGCTACAGCAACAGTTGTCAGCCCAAGTGATAGGGTAGGGCTGTGAAGTGTGGGAGCAAGTATGCAGGACCAGGGAGCACAGGGACTCTTTAAACACATACTGGTGCCAGAGGTCCCACACTGTGAAACCATACCCAGTTAGACATGACACTGTATTGCTGCATCAGCACCACACTGTGCCTTAGATAACAAATTTAGTAGAGGGGATGTAGTAAACTTAACAGGACACTAAGTACGTCTGTGCCAGATCTGGCTTTGTATTCAGCCTCTTTAGAGTAGGAGTAGAAGGCACACGAATCTATCTGCTCCTGCCCACATGGATATAATCTAATGTGAGCATCAAGCCATACTTGACATAGTGTAATGTCTTACAATGACAGGTTCCCTTCTTCATCTAAGCTATGAAAGTAGCAGTGGATTTTTCTCCCGTGCTTCCATCCAAGAATTTAACTATTTTGATTTTTCTTAATGCTAGTGAATTAATTTTTGCATCTAATCCCTCCATTTTACAGATTGAGAATTCCAGAAACAGAGAATAAAACCTAAAAACATCACTGTAATCTCCTGGGTTACTAACTATAGCCTGATGTTACATGCAGGAATAAATACTGAGCGCATGGACGGTAACCTAGCAGCAACTGGCTGAAAAGCTGCAGAGGTTACTGCCCCTTCCACCTTTCCAAAGGGAATCATCACAGAACACCTAAATCACAGAGCATCTGAATGCATGCCAGTTGCTGCCAAGGAGAACAGCAGGGTTATTTTAAATGTTTTCAGTGTCTGATGTGAGCTATCCCAGATGCTGTGCCTTCAGGTGACATAGGAAGTGCTCAAGCGCTATTCCCTAACCTGAGCACCTTGAGCAGCAATGAGCACCTTGGGCAGCAATAAGCAGAGTAAAATAAGGGAGATGGGAGTGCAGAGGGCTGGACTGCTCCTTTCAGAAGCAGATATGAACTGATGTATCTTGGTTTAAATATTCCAGCCTTGTGCAAACTGTGATCAGAGAAAACGACCACTCTGTCCCACAAGATACTCCCTTTGCTACACTCTTTGTTTTTGGTCAGGAAGCCTCAGAGCCCCAAGCATGTGAAGACAGAAACTACTGTTCATTTGCTCCATGCTCTGTAGTCTCAGCATTTCTTCACCAGCTATCAAACAGGCTTCTGTATTCTTAATTTTCATTTCCACCCACAAATTGTCTCTTCAGTACCCTCTGCTGTCCGTTCAATGCCTTGTCACTCTCAGAAGAACCTTAACTGCAGAGGTTTAAGGTAGCAGCATATTTTTCCATCCCACTTTAATTGAACAAAGGGCCCACGTGCCCCTGACTGCCGGTATAACTGATGGAGGGAGCCAGGCTCCTCTGAAATGCAGTAGAGCTCTTCTGAGATCTGAAGTGCCTTTGGGAATTGCCCATTTCTCCCCACTGGTGACATATTCCCCAAAAAAGGTCTCTGTTATGTGCCTATAGATAGATGGCATGGATGTGGACTCAGATGGCCCACCCAGTTCAGTCTCAAATAAATAAAGAGTGAGTTCAAACAAACACTTTGTCCAGAAAATCCAATTCTTGAGATTTTGAGTTCTAGATCTAGAAAGCGAACACATTCGGTGAACAATACTCATGGAATGAAGTGGGCTAGGTCAAACCCCTGTGGAATCAATAAACGCTCACATATCTCTCCATTACTTCTACAGATGCCCTTATCCCACATAATGAATCTCCTGATCCAGACACAATTAAAATAAGCTCCCTGAGATCAAGGCTTGGAATCCCATATAAGTATATATATATATATATATATAAGCCTGGAGGAATCAGGAAACAGGAAGAAGAGGCTCATAAATCAATGTAAAAAGGCCTAACAATGTGAATAGAATATAGGACCGCTTCTCATCATCATACTGAGGTTAGAGCCAAAAGTTTGCTTGAAGGACATATTAGAGTCTGGAAAAGAAAAGGCACCGAAAGCACATCACTGAGGCTACGGAATCAAAAATAGTTGGATATCATGCTAGCTACGTCATTGTTTGTATGGTAATGGCTATGCAAAGCATTATGCAAATATCTTCATGGAGCAACTAGTTCTAGACAGATCTTTGTCCTTTTTAAACAATTAATTGAATCTTCTAGGGAAGCATAGGTTCACTGGCAGTGATAGCCTGCCTTCTTTAGCTCAGTTTACATCTATCTGCATCTAGCTACCAACCACATGTCTGTATTTAGCTGCAACAGAACAATAAAAAAGTAATTACTTTAGTAAATAGCATCCCACTCCACTTTCTTCATAAGTTCAGTCTCTCCCTAGATACCATAGTTTCTTTCGATCACTCCCTTAACCCTGTATTTGAATTTTAGAAACACAGTTGCAGTCAGTCTCATAAAAAAATGGGAGTAGGTCCCAGCCACTTGGTAGTGATGTCACCCTCTGTCTTGTCTTAATAATATCTCCTTACGATAAAAGAGATCCTGTATTGGACAAAGTACACCCTAAAATCCAACCTGGTTTCTAAAGGAGTTCCTTATTTTCAATAACGTAGGAAAAACAATGTTCTGAAATAAAAAAATCGTTATCTCAATACCTACTCAAACACAGACAATTCAACTTAATCTTGGAGATAAAGTAATCTTAGGGCTCATTTGTGCCCCTATCCCTCTCCAGGTGTCCACAATTTCCACGTCTTGTCCTTCCACATTTATAGGTCAGCAATCAGTATTGAGCGATTTTTGAGTCACCCATATGTAGAAAACAGTCCATATAGTGTGGCCAAGGGTCTCATCAGACTTTGCCATGGGAATGCCCAGGACCTAAGTAAAGTGCACTGTCAAGCTCTATCACATACCTTCTGCACCAATTGACACAAGTTTCACTCCTTTGCTGGCAATATAATCCAGAGCTTTGTTGACATTAGCAATTTTATGGAAGCGCATCTTCCCTCTGTCTGGTTTCGGTAGTCTTTCCCCTGCAGAAGAACAAATTTAATGTGTTTATTGTTACATACACCTCGCTACAGACACACAAGTGATTAGAAATCAAGAGTGGATGTGGCCTGAACACTGCCTAAATTTAGCAGTAATTTTAACAGGTATTTTTCTGAAAGAATGCCAAAGGGGTTTGAACAAAACCCTGAAGAGAAAATTCAAATGTTGAAGCATCTCACTTAGATCTTTCTGATATAGCAGTAAAACCAGAGTAAAATTTTTGTTTGCCCTAAATATCTGGAAGATATATGCATGCTTCCCGCTACTCAACATACGGCTCATTGCTACTGTCTGTTAGAGTAGCTGAATATTGAGAAGGCAGGATGTTCTCCGAGCTCATCATTCGTACCTGCCCAGCTGCAAAGAGAGGCTGGATTCTATCCAGCACATCAGCTGTAGCATCCTTCCACATCTGACCAAAAACAAAGGCTGTTAACAACTTCATCCAGCACAGCAGAGCAGCTCATTTCAGAGCATTGGCTGATGTGTTTGAACAAACTTTTCTTTTCAAATGATCCCAAAGCAGAATAATTTCTAAAAAGATCAATGATCCTTCGAAGATCTTCTTTCACCACTGAAATTTCCAGCAAAAACGTAAACTGTATTTTCCATAAAGATGTGTTAAAAATCTTTTTACCCCTTTTCACCTTTATTGTCTGTCTGTAACTTGAGCTATTCCCTTCCCATTCAAGGGCATTCTGAGTGCACCTTGGGGACTACCCCTCTGAATAACACATAACAAAGGTGACATAGTGAGTTTACATCAGTTAATCAAAAGAAATTCTTGGATATTCCACTCTTTTGAAAAATGAGACGTTTTACTTATGACTAAATATTGATCTAGTTTTGCTTTAGATATTCACTTTTGAAAGCATTGGTCCATCCAATGAAGTCATTAAAAGAAAAGCAAAACTTTTATAATAAAAGCAGAATAAAATGAATTTGTAACCTAAGTGTAACGGCTTTTTAATTGTTAGGGGCTAAGGAAAGGTCGTCATTGTTTTTGGTTTGTCCAACAACGTCAATGATACCTTGATACACAAGCACCAAACAGAACATTTTGGAGACAAGGAGAAAGCAGAGCTTTTTTTTCCTCCCTTTTGCTTTATAGTGTGTTTCATCTCTCACTTTTCAGTTTACTTTGTGTTTACTGTTTTATATTGTTAAGAATTTTTGTTCTTTTAAAAGTATTTCAGTTAGTGTGCTGTAAATACACAGAAAACTTTATTTTAGCTAACCTGAGATAACTTCCAAGAGAAGCATCAGTTTGAGGCCATTCCTGAAGTCCTCTTCAATGTTCTCAATCTGTGTGCCTGCTTTTCTGAGATGGGAATTGCACCAGGCTGTAAATGTCTGTAACAGTAATTAAAAAAATAGTAATTAAAAAAAATACTAATCAACACGGCATTTTCCAAAACAACTGCTAAGCCATCTGAGTAAACTCTGAATCTGAGATTTGGATGTCCACCTCCCATTCACTCTATACATGTTGACAAGTTCAAAATTCTTATCCCAGATGTTGATGAAGATGCAAAGGATTTCTTGAATAGGAGCAATTTTGTGCTAGGTTCTGCTTGTCAGTGCATCTCCTGACAAAAGATCTACACATAAAGACAAAATTTGCACACAAATGCAGATACTTAGGTTTGCAGGGGAAAAATGATCACAAAAGCAACCATGAGCATTTTTCTCCATTCCATGGAGAATAACTAAGTCTGCTTTTAGTTGCAGAGATGAAAAGCAGAACTAATTTCATTGATCTGTAGAGGTCATATACACGTTACTTTTTGTATGAATGAAATCAAAACACAGGCTACTATGAAATTTTTAGTTAAAATTAGTCTGTTTTTAAATATCCATTGCTCCTCTCAGCCTTCTGACAAATTCTCTTTGCTTTTCAGTGTTTGTTAAGATATATAAAGCAAGTTTGTATTTACTAGGTGTTTTACCTGAGTATTTAGGTATATAACAAGACCACATATTTTAGCAAATTAGACTTCAGCTACTTGAAATTGTCAGATATTTGGAATTCCTCTTCTTTTGCTATTTCAAATTGTCACAGTTTTAAAAATATTTAATTCAAATAGTTTAAAACAATAAAATATATTTCAATTGTCAATATGAAATTCCCTTTGGCATTCTTTATTCTTATGGAGTTTTTTAGGCTATTTAACTTGTGATCTCTCAGAAACAGAATAAGGAAGGACAGTAGATGAAGACAAAAATTTTCCCTGGAACTGAATTTTGTAAATTCTAGACATACCTTAAGAAGACATGGACTGAATTTTCCCAAATGTTTTTTTCTTAAAAATGCAACCTTTTGTTAAAGAATAACATTTTTACTATTTTTGGGTTTGACCCAATTTATGTGAACAATTGATCTGCAGCTTGCTGGGCTCTTTTCTCAATGCTTGTACAGTGACAAGGAACAGCTTGCTAAACTTTAGTTTTATCAAATTCTCCTACTGAATTGAAAGCAAGTAAGAAGTGCTATGGATATGGCAAAGCTGTGGAGTGAAATCCTTAATACTAGGCACCAGGAAAAGGAGGAGAGAGAAGAAAGTATTGGAAGTGGTTCTGGGCAGGGATCCTGTTGACCTGCAGAGGATGGATTGCAGGTAAAGGCATAAGTTGTTCTGTGTGCAGATGGGGATAAGTATGGGTACAGCTGAAGCATCTCTGCAAATTCATCTATTTTAATAAAGGGATGTTAGCTTGAAAAGCAGTCATTCAGGAAGGTAAAACGCTCCTCATGTTAAGGTAACTAGCTTTACTGAGTTCAGGAGAGACCTGAAACCAGAGTGTACCAATCATCACAACAGAGATACTAGGCACCCCTACCCTCAGGGCATGACATGATGGCATGTTAGGATGGCATTTGGTTTGGATCATTATAGGGTTAGGATCTAGTTTATAAGACTAATTTGTCTGCCTCAAGCAGTATCTTACTCTAGTGATATGTATCTGAAAAGGCTTAGCACCACATTAAGTCATTTGCAAACACTAAAAATTATTACAAGAATCTTGGAAGCAATAATATTATGGTAATACATTAAAAACAGCTGAAAGCACTAAAGGGTAAATGCACATGAACCTTGCATGGCAATTTGGCAATAAATATTAGAAAGCTGAACCAGTAAATAAATGAGCCTTTCATGAATTAAGTGATGGACATGTGCTTATCTGCAGATGCTATTGCAGTTTGTAGAACTGTTCCAAGCACACCATACTAAACTCAAAGAGGAACTCAGAGAATAACTTCAGCCAATTCCATCTCTTCTTTTAGACATTTATTGTAAGTGTTCTGACCTTGTACCACTCAAGTAAATGAGTTTTCCTCGTTTTTCATTTAATTAAGGGTTTAATGGCAACAACCCCACCAGTTGAGCAGCCTTAAAATACAAATCTGATTCCTACTGTGAAAAAAGCTACTTCTCAGTTTGTTAAGAAGAAATGGAACCTGGTACTTCTCAGTACTCGTGTGTGTATATATATATATATATATATATATATATATATATATATATAGGGGTACATTGGGAAACAGCCCTTGAAAGCAAAGGGGTCCAGGAGGGATGTATATGCTTCAAGAAGGAAGTCTTGAACACACAGGAGCAGGCTGTCCCAGTGTGCTAAAAGGTGAGCCGGTGGGGAAGATGACCGGTCTGGCTCAACAGGGAGATTTTGAAGGAAATTAGGGGAAAAAAGAGAGCTTACCAACTATGGAAAAAAGGGCTGGCTCATGAAGAGTTTAGGAATATAGTTAAGTCATGCAGAAAGAAAATTAGAGAGACAAAGACACAATTTGAACTCAGTCTTGTCACTTCTGTTAGGGAGAACAAGAAGTGCTTCTACGAATACATCAATAGCAAAAGGAGGGGCAAGGAAAACCTCCATTCTTTGTTGGACATGGGAGGGAAGATAGTCACCAAAGATGAGAAAAAAGCTGAGGTACTTAACACTTTCTTTGCCTCAGTTTTCAACAGTAAGACAGGCTGTCCTCAGGACAACTGGCCTCTGGAGCTGGTAGACAGAGACAGGAAGCCGAATAACCCCCCTGTATAGAGGAGGAAACAGTTAGCAACCTGCTGAGCCACTTGGATCCTCACAAGTCAATGGGATCAGATGGGATACACCCAAGGGTGATGAGGGAGCTGGCAGAAGAGCTCGCCAAGCTGCTCTCCATCATTTACCAACAGTCCTCACTCACTGGGGAGGTCTCAGATGACTGGAAGTTGGCGAATGTCACTCTTATCCACGAAAAGGGCTGCAAGGAGGACCCAGGAAACTACAGGCCTGTCAGCCTGACCTCGGTGCCTGGCAAGGCTATGGAGCAAATCATCCTAAGTGCAATCACACAGCACCTACAGGTGCTGGGACAAGGGATCAGACCCAGCCAGCACGGGTTTAGGAGGGGCAGGTCCTGTCTGACCAACCTGATCTCCTTTTATGATCAGGTGACCTGCCTAGTGGATGAGATGAAGGCTGTGGATGTGGTCTATCTGGGCTTCAGCAGAGTGGCTGGAGAGTAGACAGGCAGAAAGGGACCTGGGAGTTTGGATTGACAGGAAGCTGAACATGAGCCAGCAGTGTGCCCAGGTAGCCAAGAAGGCCAATGGCATCCTGGTCTGTATCAATAACAGTGTGGCCAGCAGGTCTAGGGAAGTGATTCTTCCCCTGTACTCAGTGCTGGTGAGGCCACACCTGGAGTACTGTGTCCAGTTCTGGGCCCCTCAGTTCAGGAAGGATATTGAGGTCCTGGAGCAGGTCCAGAGAAGAGCAACAAGGCTGGTGAAGGGACTTGAGCACAAGTCCTATGAGGAGAGGCTGAGGGAACTGGGGTTCTTCAGCCTGGAGAAGAGGCTCAGGGGAGACCTCATCACTCTCTACAACTCCCTGAAAGGAGGTTGTAGCCAGGTGGGAGTCGGTCTCTTCTCCCAGGCAACCAGCAGTAGGACAAGAGGGCACGGTCTTAAGCTCTGCCAGGGGAGATTTAGGTTGGATATTAGGAAGGAATTTTTTACAGAGAGAGTAATCAGACACTGGAATGGGCTGCCCAGGGAAGTAGTGGATTCACTGTCCCTGGAGGTTTTTAAGATGAGACTGGATGTGGCACTTAGTGCCATGGTCTAGTAACCATGTTGGATCAAGGGTTGGACTTGATGATCTCAGAGGTTGGACTTGATGATCTCAGAGGTCTTTTCCAACCCGGTTGATTCTATGATTCCATGATTCTATATATATAAAGCAAATTAGAATTTTATCCACCTCTAATCTCACTGTGGTCATCTACTTTGCCTCTACAACAGCTGATTCAACTTACTGAATGCTGCAATGATAGACACAAAACATAAGTTTTATACAAAGATCATGAAGTTTTCAAGTATTTTAAATAGTTTCTCTTGAAAATGGACATTTTTATGGCGCTGAATTTACTGAGATACAAATAGTTTTCTCAATATTGTTCATTTTATGGAAACACTAAGCAGCCAATGTCACTATGATATAAACAAGGAAAAGGTGCTGCTACTGCTGAGTCAAGCTGTTTTCAATAAACAGTTTGATGACAGACACTGGTTTTATGATCTGCTTTTTTATATCTGCAGGTTGTTTAAGATTCTTTCCAGCAGTAAGGGCATTTGTAGCATTCTGAAGGATAAACTTGGAATTACCTACAAGGCCTCCATTCATGGGATAATAAGTTCTACTGAAGCACTCTACTGTGCATGGATTCTTTATTTAGACTATCTGTATATACACAGTTTAGATTATCTCCTATATCTAGAATAAGAGAGTTAGATCTTTTATTTAAACTACAGTTTCTCAGAGCTTTCTGTTTTATAAGTGCACCAGCTCATGGAATGGTACCATCTATCCCCTTATGAGAATTGTCCTGTGCCTCATCGAAGTGCCGCAGCAGTACATTACAGCAGACTCTCAGTGTGTGGCTTCATCGTGTGGTGCCTTCCAAACTAGCTTATTTTTCCTAGGACTAAACATGATTATAGGAATGATATTTAGGGAAGCGTTTACTGTGTTTCAGTGATGGAATCCATTAGTGACTGCATCAAGGCTACTGCAAAACTTAACTTGCAAATTTTAAGAGTTTCCACAATCCACATTTTATTTAATGCTCATCCCTCTATTCTTACTGCAATACCACTTGTTCATATGGCTTTGGCTTTAACTAACAATTCTATTCATAGTTATTGAGGAACAATTCAAAGCATGTTTAAGTCCTGGAGATCAAGATACAGCCAGCATATAGTACGCTGCAAATTTGTAATCCATTGGGATTTAAAAGCTATTAAATGACTTAGACAAAGCAAATTCCTTTTCCTACTGAGCTGTAC